TATATAACGATGCCTAGTTACTAGATTAGTAAACACCAAATGTTCGTCTTAAGTTGCGAATTGTGAATCTGGGCCTTGATGCAGATATGTTGGACACTACAGAACCCTTTATATAACACAACATACCATACATCTTGACTTATATACAGTTTATATAAATGTATAATTTGAGTAACATCACAAATGGTGATAGTGTTTTAAAATAATTTCTTTGATTACTATTATTCAACTACAAAGAAATCTAATGTAGTATGTACTGCATTACTATTACTGAACTATGTTAAGCATTTCTATAATATAAAACAATGCATAAATGCATTTTTTCCTTAATATGTATTAAATACATTTTATGCATTGTTTTGTGTTGTTATAGAAATGCTTAATGTAGTTATTTTTATTCCAATTACTCAGTTAAATGCTAACATTTCCAGTAAATTATGATTATTACTACTATTAAATAAAAAGTGAAGATAACTTAGTTTCAGCAATATCATTCCCAAATATTATTTGAATAATTCAGAATAAATATATATTTTAAAAAGATAATATTTAAGACAATTTGCCAAAAACATTCAGTGATGTCAAAAATTTTAGTATGCTTTTCTCATTTGTATTCATAATATTTAATTAGATATTTCTTTGTTTTTAATAGAATATGAACAGTATACAAGTAAAATTCATTATTAAAAAAATGGAATGAACTGTATCACAATGATAAATTTTTAATTTTTTTTAATGAGCAAAGGTAAAATTTTAAATTTGATTCATTTGAAAAAGCTCAATATGTATTAATAATGAATAAACCTATTAAAATGGTAAACTAGTGTTTCTCATTTCCCGGACTTTTGCTTGTCCCGGGATTCCGGGATAAAATTAATTATTTTTAAGATACATCATTTGATTTCAAGATATTTTGTATAATTATTTTTCATTTTTTAAAGTAATTTAATACGTTCTGTAACCTTCAAAATCATAATAATGCTGTGTAAGATATATAATAAAAATTACCTTTAAATTAAGTAGAAATTTTGCATTGAAAAAATTTATTAAAAATTTGCTGCAAAAACAACAAAAAATGCTTTGAATTGAGTTAAAAATTAAAAAAAAATGAACTTAGATCAAACTTCTAACTTAAAAGGTAATTTTCGTTTTTTAAATAAAATATAATACAAAATATTGTAAATTTTTATAAGACTTTAAAAAGCAAAGATGGTCAATACTCCGATCACTCAATCTAATTCTTATTTTGGTAATGAAAAGTCCTGCTACAGAGAATGCCTTTTCCGATTCAATTGATGTGGGTGGAATCGTGTTTAACAGAAACATCATAACCCAATAATTAGGCAGTTCGTTTGTCTTTAATAATCAGGTTCTGAAGAAAAACTTCATACTTGCAGACTTCGTACTCGTTATCTTACCCAATTTGCACAACTTGGCGTTACGCAGTTATTGAAGCTACCGGGCATGGTTAAAAATTAAGACAGCATAAGCACAATTATTCCAGATATTACAGATAAAGAATTTTGAGAGTCCTGCCACAAGCAAGCTACGTATTGATTATTGACCATTTGTGACATGCCATAACGAGCAAAAATTAAACTAATAAGTAAGATTAAAATTAATAAATAAAAATGTATTCTGTCACTTTATGAGTTAATTATACTTTCTACAGTCGACCCCCCTATAACGTACGTTCCTATAACGACAATTCCTATAACGTAGCGAAAAAATTGTAGCAACTTTCGTATAACGTACCTCCTATAACGTCGTTTCGCGACAAGATTGATAGAGTCTGGACCAATAGTGGATGAGCAGCCGAACTACTTTCCTCCGACCCTGCGCCACGCTACGGAGCGGCTAAATTGAGTTTGCTATCGTCTGTTTAGTATTATATATAAATTAGGTACTGTACATATAATTATATATTAATTATATATAAATTAGGTACTGTATATATAATTATATATTAACTTAATTTATTGTAACTTTATTATAATTATATATATGCTTTCTGCCGCCTGGCAACACGCTACGGAGATTTTAGGCTAGTAAGTTGAGTTTATTATCGTCTGCACAGTATGTAAATTAGGTACCGTAAGTCTAATACAGCACTAATTTTATACATTTCTTGTGAAAGAAACACTTCTTATTCAACGGCCATAAAAATTATTTATATTAATGATGTCTCCAAAGGTCAAGTTATTTTTCTGCGAAAAATTCGTTATCAGAAATCGCGGCCGCCGTTTCGTGCGCTGTTCCGCGACGAAAACAAGCTTGAGCAACGGCGTAGTCGAACGGTGCACACTCGGTAAGTAATCCTACAATTTTTTGTTTATAGCATAGTTTATACAGATTATTCCCAAAAAATTATACGTATTTTGGAAATGTTGAGTGGAATTAGTCTAGAATCGGTTAATTTTATAGAAGAAAACCTTTCGAACAGCCTTAGTCCGTAAAGTTCCCACCTATCGGGCTGCGATTGGCTCATTCCTACAACGTAATTTTCGGTTAGCGTGGAACGTATCTAAGCGTTATAGGGGGGTCTACTGTATTTGCAAAATTTCCTCGACCTTAACACAAAATAAGAAAAAAAGAATAAGAAAAAAAGTGAATTTTTAAGAAATTTGCGGGATTTCCCGGGATAAGAAAAATTTCCCGGGTTAAAAAAAAGACAACTGGAATCTCGTTTGAGAAATCCTATGGTAAATATGACATTTCATTACAACAAACTATAAATCATTATACAAACTATAAATAAATACTTAATACAAGTTACAAGTTCATGTTGAGACTGGACTTAGAATTAGCAAAAATGTCCCGACTCCAATCTGGACAAATTTAATTCTTCCTGAAACAGTTTCTGATTCTATAATCAACAGCAATGTTGTGGAATTAACAACCAGCCCTTTAACTTTGCAGATGAATTACTAAGTATGTTGAGCAATAGTCATTAAAAATATACATTAAATTTCATTAAAAGGCTTTTTGGATATTGGCAGCCGATTGCACAGACGTTTAAATTAACTACTGAACAACAGTAGCTTCCAGCTGCCACCGGAAGCTTCCAGAGGGTAGCCGGTGATGTTATCGGAGTTCACGTCTCTACTGTATGCAGGCATCTATCAAACTACCATTAAATAAATTTAAAAACTTTGTTGTATAGTGATAGAGACATATATAATAAGAATGAGGTCTTGTTTAATGAATAAGAATAAGGTCTTGCTGTAAGCAGACAGACAAAGAAACGATGAAGAAAATTTGTTCTGCATCATCTCCCATGCGGTTTTTTTCATCCCCAGAATACGATTGTTGTAACCTTTCTCCTCAACTGCAGGATAATTTTTTATAACTTCCGTGAGGATACCTTTTTCTTCGGAAAATTCCAGCATGATTTGAACATCATGTTCGTCGCCATTTTTCTGACGTCATAAACGAATGACCTGAATGACTAAATGACTCCTGAGAGAGAGGAGTAACAGCGAAGAAAGTAAGAACCAATGTTTTGCCGAGATTTGTTTAGATGGAATTCAGAAATAGATGATCATCATCTTTGCAACGCATTTTAAACCGCAGTTCAGCCACCTAACATCTAGATGCCGTTCAGATGTTAAACATCGTTTAACATCAACTGTCTCTGCAATCAGCTGTGTGTGTCTAGAAAACAAATTTCTACCCGTACAGGAAAATATTTCCACCAATATGTTAAATATCTGATATGAAAGTACAAGTATTATGCAAATTATATTTTAAATCACAACATAAAGTTTTATTTTAGAAATAATTTAAAGACATGAATTTTGTTCTGTAAACAAAACTAGGCAATGCTTTAAATTAATATCAAATACACTGAATGGAGATTGTAAACAGAAACAGATATATTAATACCATTAAATTAGAGTCAGAATTTTAGAGCTTATTACATTTTTTTTTTAAAGTTTTGATGCATCTAGAGAGAGAGTATAAATGGTCAAAATGGTTAACTATAAGTGTTGTTGCTTTCCTAAAAAAGCAAGGAAGGAATATGAATGAATGATCTAAGACAATTGCAAAATTATCATTTTTTTTTATTTTAACAAATATTCAGCCTGGAAATTTTTTATAGGTTTAAAATTTATTATTAAATTTTGGATGCTTATATTTAATTCAAAAACAGACTAAAAACAGAGATGAAAGAACAGATATAATAAAAAATTGGAATTGCTATCATTTCAACAAAAATGTAGTTGTAGGAAAAAGTGTGTGTTAAAATTTTGTAGTAAATACAATAACACCATATAATTTTTCTATTTATAAGATTTATATTTTGTTTCAATTTTATTTAAAAGTTTTCTGTGTATAAGCAAATTGTGAGTGGCAAGTTTGCACTTGGCAAGGGTATAAGATAATTGAAAAAAAAATAATAAAAATCAATCAAATGAGAGAAATATTTTGCAACACAACTCTCTGAAATGGGAATCAAAGAATTGGAAACACCATCAATTAATAATATTTCATTCAATTTTATGTACACAGAAACACCAACAAAAATTTCATTCTTCTGAAATACATTTCAAGGAAATATAACAGTTCAATTATGAAATTAGCTAAATTTATATTTCTATAGATAATGTTACGGTAATGTCCAAATTTGACAAATATTACATTAATATAAAAATAAACAAAGTCATTTAATGTTATTTAAGTAACAAATATTTCATATTTTTTGGATTTCTGTGCTATGTTTGAGTTTCATATCACAAAAATACTGTATTTTAAAATATCCAATTTCTTTATTTGTTGAACTAAAATATAAATTGTTCTTTTTCCTTTAAGTTGCTCAACATTCGTACTTATCCTTTTAAACTAAATAAATTCTACTGAATAAATGTGTAAATTACAGATCTAAAAACTTACAACAGTGCTAACAAAAAAATTTTTTTTTGCTTTTAGTTGTGCCATTTGACACATTTTTGTACTCTCTAATTAAAAATATAATTCATGAAGTATTTAAGACTAAGAGGTGATTCAAGTTTTAGTTTATTTTTTTCAAATTACTGCAGTAACATGCATGAAAAATACAGCAATTTCTTTTACAGCTTTTTTTCTGAAATAATGAAGATACAGGACTGTCTAGAGATTTTCTAGAAAGACCTATAACTTCAAAAACCACCATGTATTCCCCTTTGAATTATGGTCCATTCAACAACTTAGAAAATTTCACCAAATGCAAGAAACAATCACAAGGTATGCCAAAAAATGTTGCCGATATAACTGCCAGCACGAATGTGTAAAGAATGGTTGATATACACTAATTATTGACAGTGGACTTGGCAGCATTTCTCACTCTTCTAATTATTTCACTGTGTAAAGTTTTGTCATACAGAAAAGATAAAGCATGTTCTGTACATAATATAACCACTCTGTTGGCAGTCAATTATATTTGAATTTTGTATAGTCAACTCACATTTTTGTCCTTGAATTAACAAGGTAGTTGCTAATGCAACACACCTCTTCTGAGAAAATATCACACTATCAGATTTTGAGAAGGCTCCTCTGACATGGCAATTTGTTCTGTGCCTTTTTCAACAGGGACTTCCCAACAACAAATTACAAATTGTAATGAATGTAAGTATTCTGTTAGTTCATGCAAATCCAAAACCTTCAGAACACTCTTGGATGGCTTTTAGCAACATGGAACGGAGCTTGTCGTAAGTTTCATAGGCTGGTAAATCTAATTGATTGAAGCTGCCAAAAAAGTTTAAATTAGTTCAATTAAGAATATTTAATAAACATGTTTGTTAAAAATAAACATACCAAGTATGTGCAGATGGTAAACGATCTGTTGAACGATCATCACGATGAATCTGAAACTTCTGAATTCCATTCATTCCCTCTAATGCAGAAAAACCTTGAAGTGGCACTTTTGAAGTGCCAGTCACAAACTGTAGGAACTTGGCACGATCTGCTTGATCAAATGAACGAAGAGCTCTCCAAAACCATTGTATCTATGAAAATTTATAGTTTGTAAGGTCAGCTTTAACACACAAAAACACTAATATATTTTAATGGAAATGAATAAATAATTTTCACATTTGTTAATAATTTGGTTCTTATGATTTGTGCATTATAAAACAGAACATTTCATAATTTCTAGCAACAGGAATGAAATTTAACTGTATTGAACTATCCACATAAATGTTTGAAATGGGGCTTGTGGGCACATTTCATTATGCAGCAAACTTCTTGTAAGATCATCAAAATATAATATCTTGTAATGTATGAATTTCTTTATTAAGATGATGATCTTTACCACAGAAAACATCCACATTTTGAATGTAAGAAACTAAGAATATTTTAGATTTTTTTCCTACCCATTAAGATTACAACAACATTCCACATTATGATTAGAATTTAATTATAGTAAATTATTGAGTAGATATATTTTGAAGTTGGTAATCAGAATATTTATATGAACTGATATTTATTGATAAAGTAGTTTAAAAACTGAACTTTTTTTCATAGAAAGTAAAAATTTTAGTATGATTTAGGATTTCATATTTAAATGATCTAAGATATACAAAAGTATATTTTGTTAGGAATATTTTAAGTATTCTTACCTGTAATGACGTTGGTTGATATTTATGATACTCTGTGTTGGCTTTAAGATCATCTATGTCAACATTTGGCAAACCTGAGATTAATAATTCAAGTTCTTGTTCATTGAAGATAGCAATAAGGCGTTTGGGAATAATTTCGTAAAATCCTTCCAAGAATGCATTCAATTGCTTTCGAATAGCTCCTGTCATTTTTTCTTGACAAACTAAACGCACATATTCTTGTTTATTTTCTTCAGTAACCATTACATTCTGCCCATTTGGTTTTAAATCTCTAATTTCTGTTACACCAAATTCTTGCACCTGAAACAAAAGTGTATTAAAATGAATTACTATTCAAAATTTTTCAGAAAACTGCAAAAAATAAAAAAATGACATTTTGATTAAATTAATCAATATAAAGTGCAGGATATTAGAAAATTCCAAATTGTAACTTATGGTTTTCCTATCAGTTTACAATTAGATATCAAATCTAGTAATAACTTTGTATCTGTGTAAAGTAAATTAAATGATTTATTTCATATGAATTGTCTTACTTCAACACTGAAAGTCAGTTCATAGCCAATTTCCTTGACATCGTGTTCCAACAAAAAGACTAAACCTTGATAAAATGAATAGTCTTCACTTTCCATATCAGTGTATCTGCAATTGAACAAAATGTTAACTTTATTCATGAAATCAACATTCAAAAATTTTAAAACACAAAGTTTTTATATCCTACATTTTCTCCTAAAATTTTTAAACCACACACTCAAAATTTATCAATTATAATTACACTATTTTTTTTCTTGACTTGTATTACTGAAAAAACTTTCACCTGTATTGGTCATAAGTTATTTTCCTATGAATCACATTACATGTTAATGAAAAATAACTCGACACTATATGACCATAATAGAATTTATTCAGATCATAATTTAATTAGCTGTGGTACCTTAATTTTGGTACAGAATGCACAAGCTTGAATTACATTATGTGCCAAAATATACAGTACTGTAACAAAAAGAAACAATATTACCCTGTGTCATCTGAGTTTATTTCTTCTGACAGAAACTAACATACACATTAATAATGTGTTGATTGTTGATTTACCATAGTTTTCATACTCTAAGTGTTCAAAATGTGCACTGCCTCGTTGTAGACAGTGTTCATGTCATTCATACATTCTCAAACATATTCCAAAACAAAGGTTGCTGCAGATTCCTGCAAAAGTAAACGATTTGCTCACATAATGCAGGTACAGTACTTGGTAGATCTTAAGAGTTGAACACATACTCCTTTAACATTCCCCACAAGTAGGCATCAGGTGGTATAAGATCATGGGTATGGGAAATAAGTACCACAAAAAATTATTCATCTTGAAAAGTTTTCTTTAAGAATGGCTAGTCACCTGTCTTTTTGATACCATTGTCTATTCATGTGAAGACCCTTTGCATAACAATCTTCTTAAATTCTGAAGAAATGGTCTGATCATCATAATCCTGGAGGGTTCTTGGGTGATGGTAAGAGCTTTCCCTTTTTACTACTGGGAACATGTGCAGTTAGAGCTATGCTCCTGCAACAAATGCACATGCACATTTGAGATGTGCATGTTTCAGTACTGTATATTTTGGCACATAGTATATTATATTACAGTATTTCATAAAATATTCAAATTATATTTTTAATAATATACAATATAACATTTAAAAAATCTGAAGTATTATCTAAAAACTTAAAATTTATTAAATGCAATACAACTGATTGGTAAATGGTAATTGTAAATGTTACAAGTTAAGGTAAGTTTTTTATGCTAATTATGATTTTGATAAAATTACTCCAAATATTAACTTATTGATAAAAATTTTGTAATAAGCAGCAATAAGTTTATTCAATGTAACAGGAAATTTTAACATTTTAATATTCAATTTTAACGAGAAATTTAAAAAATTTCCTGTTAAAATTTAAAAAAAATACATATATAAAAATATTAATAAAGTAAAAATTATTATTAAGTTTTACTTGTCCCTTGTGCAAATGAAGTCAAGAGATTAATCATATCTTAACATTTTAAAAATAAATTTTATTATTATTATTTTACATTACAAATTAAGTGTTCTATATTAGTAATTTTCTAATCATAAAAATAAAGCACTAACAAATTACTTAATAATCAACTATAAATCTAAAGAATATTTTTTCAATATTCATTCAATATATTAATATTAGAGAGAAATACTTACTTGACAAGTTTCCCTAGAATATGTTTATAAAATGACCTTGTAAAATAACATTCTAATAGTTTATTATCATAGACAGCCTTTGCTATTACTCGACCTACAAACTTGAAGTAACTCAGATGATTTGAGTTACAATGAGAAGATTGGTTAATCATATATGTTACACGATCACCAGGTGAAATTGTGAATAGAGCATACATTGGATTAAATATCTCTCGTGAAATTATAGTATACCATTCCCTTAACAAGCCTCCTGCATCTTGACCTTCTTCACCTAACAAACAAAATTGAATATCAGAATGCTTATATTTTGAATCTAATCAGTTCATTAAATATAAATAATTTATAAAATTTTATTTTCAAGACTGCTATTAACAATTTACATTTTATTTACAAAAAAGTCTAGAGTGATGTTATTCACAATTGTATTTATGTTTGGATAAAAATAAATACTACTGTAGATATCAAGAACAAAAAAATTTGTAATTTAATAATATGAAACTCTACTTACTGACATAGATTTAAATTAAAGTGATTAGAAAGTAGAATTCCATATAACATGAATAAGGTTTTGTAAATTTACTTCTTCACATTAAGCAAACTGTCTTAAAATAAAACTAAATGAAGCAAAATAATTTCCCATATCAAACTCCAAATACAGTAAACACCAGCTAAGTTGAACAAACAGGGATAAAGTGAGTTAGCGGAATGAAGATGGGCAAAACAAGATGAATACATAGGCTGTTTTTTTTCAAGCTCCAACGGTCCGTTAAAAAAAAAAAGCAAATGTATAAAACAAAATGAATTTATTACCAAAAGTTAGGTATAAACATGGTACTTTTCGACATAATCTCTGAAGATTGAGACATTTGTCATATCTGTGGATGAGCTTTCCCATCCCCTTGTCATAGAATGTTGCCATCAATGACTTCAGATGGGCCGTAACATTGTTTTGAACATTGTTGTTAGTCTCGAACCTCTGCCCTCCTAGCCACTTTTCCTGTTCAGGAAAGAGATGGAAGTTGCTCAGTGCTATACGCTGGGTGTTTAAAAAGTGGTGAAGACTTCCACTCAGCTTCGAACTTTTTAATATGTGAAGACTTCTACATCTTTCCTGAACTGAAAATGTGGCTAGCAGGGCAGAGGTTTGAGACTAATGATGATTTTCAAAACAACATTGTTAAGGACATCTCAATTCACTGGTGGCAACATTCTATGACAAGAGGATGGAAAAGCTTGTCCACAGATATGATAAATGCCTCAATCTTCACAGTGATTATGTTCAAAAGTAACCATGTTTGTACCTAGCTTTTGGTAATAAATTCATTTTGTTATTTACACTTGTCTTTGTTTTATGGACCATCGGCGATTGAAAAAACTGCCCTTGTACTATGCTGTAGAAATTTATTTTGATCAGCTCTATACAAAAATTTTACTGAGCTTTAGTACATTTATATTACTGAATTTTTATTACAGAAAATCTCAAAAAATTCATGAAAGTACAGTATACAGAAACAGTTTTTAGTACCTTACTGACTATATATGACTAAATATATGTAATGCATAATATCTGAAAGACTTCCAGATATTGAAAAGATTACTTTTTTGTCAAAAAATTTTAAATTACTTTAAACATTTTTTTGAAAGAACATCTGTCCAAGTTATGCAAAATCTGAGTTAGCAGGATTTATGATGTTTAATTTTTGTTTTTTTCCTGTTTTTACTTTGTATTCAACAATTTATCATTGAATTAATAATAAATTATCAAAAAAGACAATTTACACATTAAATAGTAAAACTATCAAAAGGACCAATAAAGACTGTTAACTGCAATCTCATTCCTTTATATACTGTAGTTTCTAAAATCATGAAGCCATTAAATCTGTTCTTCCATTTTAATATTTCTTCATAGTTGCTGTTTTAAGATTACACACACAGTTTTATTTTTCACATACAAATAATTTTGAATTTATCATCATCAGAAAATTATCATCCTAATAAAATGTCACATTGTCATCATTGTAAAAGCAAAATGGCATACAAATAGAATTGAAATAATTGAAAAAATAACAGAATATACATAGTTATAAATCTTGAGAATGTTTAAGACTAGTTAGTATGGTAGAATTGGTGATATGAAAAGGGGATGGAATCATCCTTACTACAGGCTTTTTGAGACAGCCAATTAATCAAGGAAATTGATTTCTTTCTTAGATATTATCAAATATTAAAAAAAAAAATTTGCAAAGATGTGAATATATATCTGCATTAATAAAAGTTCATTATATTATAAAAACTGGTTTTGTAATATTGCTATTAAATTTTAACAAATGCTGTGATCTTATATTAAAAAAAACCAAACTCCAATAACAATGAAACTGCATGTTTTACAAATATAAAGAAATAAATTTCTTAAATTATACACTTATAAAAATCTCTTGATTTAAGAGATTTTTATAAGTGTATAATTTAAGAAATTTATACTTAAATTATGCTTTAAATATTTGAACTTCTGTATTCATGTTTAGAAAATTAAAAAATCTGCCCATCGAAAAGCAATATAAAATAGAATCATTATCTAAACTGCAAGCATTACTACAATTATTATTATTTTCTAGGAAAGAAGAAATTCTCTCAAAATGAAAAAATTTATATATATAAATTATGTAAATAATAAAATAGGCATTTATGATTTATAAACACACACATTTATATACAAAAATTTAAACAAAAAGTAATTGCCTTCAAAAACAATGTAAAAGCGATTTTTCCATTCTTCTGGAGATCTCCTATGTAATTCTCTAAACGAATCTTCAAATACATGTTCACGCCGTACATGAACGGCAAGGTCTTCACGCCGTGCACCTTCATCCATTCGTTCCAATTCCTGTCTAAAATACCTTCGTTTTACATCAAAATCTAAAACTCTAGTGTGATCAACTAGTACTGAAAATGGACCATCTGCAAGTGGAGTGGTTGATTGACGGAGTATTTGATTTAAAACAGTACGGTGGGTTTCTGCAGAAAATAATATAATCAATTTATAACAACATTTTAAAATATATGTAAATAAAAGAATTATAACATACCTGCAAATTTTAAGAATTTTTGTGTATCAGCTGGTAAAGCTGTGCTTATAGTTGCTAAAGAATTCTCTCTACTAAAGACTATATTGCTAGTTTCAGCTATAGTTGCTGCTTCTGAAGTAGCTGGTAAAGGTGATAATGGTGCTATGTCTTGATGTATATGTGCTAATTGATTTTCTCTGCTTTCTTGTCTATATTCTTTTCTAAAAAATGTATATTTATTTAATAAAATCAAACTAAATTGATTGCAAAAAGTAGGAAAAAACAACTATTTCAAAATTTTATATTCAATAAAAAACAATTTTTAATTGTCTATTTGGACATTACTCATTAATAGGACTTTATACTGGTGTTTAAAAAATTGACACAGTAATGAGAGTTAGTTCAGAATAAACAAATTTCCTTTATTATATCACCTGTAGTAGTAATTTTTTCTGTACACTTACATGTGTTTTGGGCTAACATGCCCTCATCAACAGTATTACTACAAACCACTAAAAAACAAAATATACAATATCTTATTTATTTAATTATTGTTTTTTTAATGGTTTGTAATAATACTGCTGATAAGGGGCATGTTAACCCAAAACACATGTAAGTGTACAGAAAAAATTACTACTACAGGTGATATAATAAAGGAAATTTGTTTATTCTGAACTAACTCTCATTACTGTGTCAATTTTTTAAACACCAGTATAAAGTCCTATTAATGAGTAATGTCCAAATAGACAAAAATAAATTAAAGTAAGGACTGTAAGGCAATTATAATAATTTAAAAATTATTATAATTGCCTTACAGTCTTTACTTCTGTCCTTACAGACTGTAAGGCAATTTTTAAAACTTGTAATAGAAGAGAAATGCATTCAAAAATATAAAATACAAACTTTTTAATAAAGTTTTTAGAAATTTACATAATTCTTTCCACATTTTGAAATAAAAAAATATATTTTTTTATAGTCTGCATTTTGATTTAAATCATGTTTTTATAAATAATTTATTTCCTGAAAATAATATAAGGAAGCAGTTGAAAAGATGTTATAAAGTTAAAATTTATAGATAATGAAACTTCAAAAATAAAAACTTTTTCACAAATAAACATATTACTAACTTCTGATACTAATTTAGGATCACACATGTCTGTTTTGATAAAAATTTTAATACCCAAAATAATTTATTTTATTTGTGTAAAGTAATTGTTATTATTATTTCATTGTATATTTAAAAAATTTTAATCATTTTTTACAATCTTAGGAAGATAAAAATTAAGTTGATATATTTGTAATGTATTTAGAGAGACGTTAAAGCATTTCATAACTTCAGAAAATAAATTACTTTTCAAATAAATATTTCAAGTCTACCCATAGGCTATCTAAATTCTCATTATGATGAAAAGATTATCTTAATTAAAAAAAACAGTTATTTAAAATAATAAAAACAAATCAAAATCATATGATAATATTTAATATTATAAACAATTGAAGCAAATACATAAATGAAGTATCACCAGTATTCTAAAAATATGAATGTGCATGAAATGTTTGAGAAATAATATATATATATATATATATATAATATAAATCACCTTTTATTAGATTCTTTTTCTGAGGAAGAAGCATGAACTAAGAAAAATGCTTCTACAGCAGGTTGTAATACAAGAACAGCATGATGATCTGGAGTTTCTGCAAGTTCTACTAAGCACTCACTCAGTGTTTCCCATAATTCTTCAAGAGAAAGTTGAAAACTGAGTGGTGGTAAACATGGTTCTTCTTCAACTGGTTCCTTTTTTGAATTTTGACTAGATGGTGTTACTGAAAAATATTAAGAATGTTTATAATTAGACAATAACATTAACACACAAAATGATATTTCATCCAATTTCAGAATTTAAAATTTTACATTCATTTAATTAGAAATGTCAAGTTAAGATTAGTATCAGATTATTATTTCTGTTTAATTAAGTAAAATTAAAACTTTTTAATTAAAAATATTCAACTGACTAATATACCAAATAAATCAATTATTCTTATTACAGTCCAAAAATAAACTAATACTTTTGTCTAAAAGCAAGAAGTTAGATCACATCCTATGTTATCACAAGTAGAATTTCACTTAAATCAATTAAATAATTTAGGAAATTATTTTATATAACAGATCTAAATTATCAAATTTTCTTTATCTCTAGAGACAGTGTCAATACTGAAATCTTCATCTGCTATGTATCTTCACTAACTTGTGGATGAGAAGAATTTCTTTTCTTGGGCTCTTTTCTTCCAGAATTTTTTAATTATTTAATTTCTAATTATTATTGGATATAACTATTGGATCAATTCATTCAATTTAACTACTTTTCTTAATGTTACTTAACAATAGTTTTAAGACAAGACCTATAAATTACCAAATGAATTCAATGTTCTCATCAAACAGTTTTTTATTCAGCAAAATGAAACCTTAACCGATCAGTTTTAATAATCAGAAACAAAAATTTTTAATTGTTAAATGCAGTGATTTTTACTACATGTAATTGTAATAATATTTATAAAATTTTGAAACACTCACAAAAGCAGAATAGTGTTATAAAATACATAAGTTAAAATTTTAAACTGTCTACAGATAAGAAAACACTAAATGACAGATTTAAACTTTTAGTTGGCAATTCAAATTCACCTCTATTAGATATATATTTAGTATTTTATAAACTGGGCTAACCTATTTAACAATGAAATTAGTTTAGCATTTTCTTTTATTAGTCTTTATGCTAAAATTCTATCTAAATGTTAACATGATTCAAATCCATCAATAGTGTGTTTGCAGCACATTGACATTTTCTGTTATAAAATGCATTATATAACCTAAAAGACAATGTTATATTTTGTAATGTAAGTTTAATTCCATTATAAGCTTACAATACAAAAATAAGATTATAACACTAGGCATAGCAGTCCTTTGCTTATAATAAGATACAGTGAAACAGTGAGATTGCTTTATCAAACATGGCAACTAAGATTAGATTTTTCTGATATTGAAAGAAAACAATTTGCATTATTTTAATAACTTTGTATGCATGCTTTGAATTATTGTAGAATGTCCATTCTGATTATTATATCAAGATACAACAAAGTAGAATTTGCAAATATAGAAAATATCAATACACATACTTGCTAAATAAGTTGCCTTCTTACAAACTTATAATTTACACTTAAAACTTACAACAATATTTCATTTCTAAAATAAAACAGAAATATAAATGCTGAACTTGATACCTCTCTCCTTAACTTGTAAAGATAAAAAAAATTATGTATTATCCCTCTTGCTATGCAGTCTATAATTATGCAATTTTGAGATATCATTGATAAAAGAAAAACAATCCTTATTTTACACAATTGATATTTTTACATGAAAAAAAAAAAAAAAAAAAAAGAGTTTATTTGAAAATTTTTAAGTTTAAGTTTGACTTTTTGTAAAATTGTATTATTGTTTAAAAAAAGTCTATTTTTGTTGAAATCAACAGCTCATTTATCTTTTCTAAGCACAATACAATACTATATGTTCATCAGAGAATACTTACTGTATGTTAAATTTGTTTTCTATGCTACCTTGTGTTTACTATATTTACATACAAATAATGTTAAGGAAAAATAATGTTAGAATTAAAAAAAGGTCATGTTTCTTTGTAAATTGCTTTTTTTTTTTGTTTCACTGAAGTTCTGGATCAAATCAAGCGTTTTTCTATAGGATTTATGTACTGTACTTTTTTATGCAATTGTTTGTTTTATGCGGCATTTTTTAGAATGTATCTACCGTACAAAAAGATTTATACATGTATATGTATTTTTCTCTCCTTTTTGACAGTCAATTATTATACAACCATTCAAAAGCAAATGCTCATTTTCACTTAACTGACTGATTATTGATATTTGAAAACTGTCAGTTGATATCATACAAATATTTTATAGGCTAAATTTTGGTAAGGCTTTAAATTATACTAAAACTAACCTAGTATCGACAATAAACAAGCTCCAAACTTGAAACATTTATATTGAAAGATTATGACATTATTAAACATGTAATGTAAAGAAAACAATGAAATTAAACTTACCTGTATCAATTTCCATTGGTGTGGCTTGCTGATTACCCTCATTTGAACCTTCATTTTCATTTGAAGCAATAGTTTCTTGTAATACACTTAACTGAGTTTCAGGTAAATTCTGAGATGTTAAAACACTTTGCTGTAAGACATCTGAAGAAACAGCTATAAAAGAAACAAAGTAAAAATGTTTATGGGTTCTCTACACTTCTATTTGCAACTGTAACTAAACTGAGTGCATCATAATTATTCATGCATAGTCAAATAACATGTTTTCAAGATGATCAAAGAAATGCATTCAATGCAATTGTCATATAAAATAACCATTTTAAGAAACAGAACAATTCAGGTTTTTGTATTAAAAAGCTAGATGCATGCATTATGTTATAAAATATATTTATTACATTAAAATGTAATGTAAATTTTTTTAACTTACACGCTTGACGAGCTCTTTGTTGTGCCAGACGTGTAGCTTCCCTTAATTGAATTATAACTTTAAGAATCCTTAAGAAAAAAGCCTGACTAGAAGTTTTGCTTGTTAGTGCTGCCATTGATGGTAACTGCAATTCCCTACTTCCACTTCCTTTGACTTTTGTTGGAGCAGTTATGATAACAGTTGTATGTGTAAACCTAAAATAAAAAACAAAAAATATAATCTAGTTACAATCAGTTCTCCATAAACTGAATACCAATCTTTTATGAGGACTTGAAATAATTTATAATATTAACAAATTTGTATATTTATGCTTGTAGATAATTTCTAAATTTATGAATTTTGAAATATAGGGGAGGATGGGGCAACTTCAGCACAATAAGAATAAGTTAAATTTTGTGTAACGAATACTGCTATAAACTGAAAGAAAAGCATTGTTTATTGTCTACCAGAATGCAAACTTACAATAGAACTGGTTAAAATCAGTTTGAAAATAAAAATAATCATAATAATAATAACTTTATAAAAAGATAGCAATTGCCGAAGTTGCCCAATACCAGGGGCAACCTCAGCAACAGTAATGGGGCAAGATAGGAAGGTATATAAATTTGTGTTATTAGCAAGGTATAAGTTGGAATTCACTATTAAAACAAAGAAATGTAAGTCCAAAAACCTATTTATAATTATAACAACGAAATACAAGTTCAAAGGCATATTTAAGTAAATAAACTGTAAATAAAAATTAATTACAAAAAAAAAATCAAACAGATAATAAATGAAAACATCCAGATGCAAGTTAAAAGCAATATACATGAATTAGTGAACTCAAACAGTAGAAATGAAATATGCTTAACAGCAAATTGTTTATGCTCTACACATCACAAATAAATTGAATCAACTCATTTTCCAAACCTGTACAGCCACATGAGCCCACAGTTCACACTTTCAGCACATAATCCACTTTTCCAGAGTAGTTCCCATATTATTTATTGCAATATATGCAATAAGTATTTTCATTGTCATTTTTTGGTTCTTTAGGACTTCTCTGCCCCTTTTCTTTAGTGAACTTTGAATCCGATTTCTCCAAATCCATTGTCCTTCTGAAAGTTCCTGATTTTTTAACTTTAGCCTTGGCTTCTAATGTGGCTTTGTATGGGGATCCAGTTATTTCTTCTGCTTGTTGTTTGCGACCAAATCAAACCATAGCAGAACACGATCAGGAACAAGATCAGCAACATTGCCGAAGATGCCCCAATAGTCATGATTTAGAAACATTAAGTGGAATCAAGCCATGATCTGTCCACGTGAATAAGTTAATGTTTTATCCTTCTAACAGGAAAAATAACTTTTGTTATTATGGAATTATAACAAAACATGCCAATTCTATATAAATGGAAGCAAAATATTATAAGAAATTAAATGAAACAGATAACTTATTTGATATTTCAACTATGCTTGTTGGAGAATAACACACACCACACTCAACAAGCCATCATTAAAACTCAACTAACTAGCCTCTAAAGAGAGAGTCCTTTTATTTTGTTTCAAAGAAAATTTAATTGACAAACTTGCCCCATATGCCAGATTACCCCATCCTCCCCTATACATATAAACATTTCAAAACCCAATGTTATTAATCAAAGCAAAATGATTGCCATAATATATCAGGCTATTTTTTGCTACTATTAATAATTAAATTTTAAGTAATTTGGTAACAGAGGTAGACATTAGGCATTATCTCTTATCAAATTTAATAATTATAATCATCTACTAACAAAACTACTATTAAATTATTAGTATTCTAAAGTCCAAGAGTGTATTATTATAAAGCAACATGAATAAGGTCCCCTGTTGGTGCTTTGCAATAACCATGGATGGTTATATCAAGAATTAAATGTCTAGAAGCAAAAAATCATTCTGAGGTCTGTGTAGCATAACTGGCAACACATCTACATAGTAAGCAGGAGTTACAGGTTCAAATCCCACTCCAGGCAGATTCCTTTCTTCCAGAGACAATTCTAAATTATATGATAAATATTAAATTATTATACTGATTAAATTTTATAAGAGATGATACCTAACATCTACTTCTATTACTAAATTACTTAAAATTGAAATATTAATAGTAGCAAAAAATAGCCTGATACATTATGTCAATTGTTTGGTTTTAAAATATATTTTTAAAATAACTGATGATAATCATCATATTTTAACAATAAGAAATTTTGATATGCAATGGTTTAGATCAGGGGTAACCAAACTATGGCCCATGGGCTAGATCCAGCCCATGAGGTCAGTTCATCCAGCCTGCTGCCACACTGTACCACAAATGAGCTAAAAGGTATATGATATTTCTATTATTTATACAGAAATATCAGACTGTAGATAAACTTACTATGTAGAAAAAATTAAAATAAGTGTAAGTAAAATTGCCAAAATTGATCCAAGCTGATTTCTGCATCTGACAGTAATATAATTTTCAGGAAAATCAGTGAAATAAACAATTTGGCAACTTTTGACATCAGAGCGTTTTTTGTGTAAGTACCTGCAATGAAGTTTCTAAGAAAACTGATTACAAGCTTGCTGCAGCGATCATGTTTGTATTGGTAAATAATTATGTTGGTTGTCTTTATTTTTTGTGTATTCAGTGTATTGTATTAAACAAAATGGTTATGCAACCTGCACTTGTCATTCTCTCAGTTATGTGGTCCATTGTAAAAAAGTTTGCTGACTGCTGGTTTTGATATACAGGAAATTCTTTAATTTTAAATTCTTCCTATAACAAACTTCTCCTTATGTTGAACAACATAATCTTTCACAAATGCAGTGAACAAACATATAAAGTTTATTACATATTACACTACATGAACAAAATTCAAAGTAGTCTAGTAAAATTTCCTTTACTGTAAACTCCAGTTATACACACTGCAACAAACTATATTGAAAATATTCATTTGAGGAGAGGTTGAACACAATAGTTCTAACTACAAGCATTGCTATCTTCAACAATTATTGATGGTTTTGAATAGATACAGGATAGTGTTGGCAGATCCTGAAATTCTTAACAATTCAGCAACTTTTGAAAAAATAATATGTAGCCATTTCCATATCAATGTCATAACTTTTTTGCTTATTAAAAACATTTCTTCCCTATCTTCTGACATCAAAGATCCAAATTTTTAGGCTTAGCTTTCCTTTATGATAAAACTGGTATTTTGGAAGTTTTTTTATAAGGAAACCTTGGCTGATTTTTAGTAACACTATCATGAATACAACAACCTACATTGCCATTATAAACAATTTACAATGAAAGTTAAAAAAATCATAAATTTTTAATTTGGTCCACAATTCCTAAGTAAATCTCTAAATGCATTTTTTTTACTTGCAAAGCTATAACTAATCATTTGTTATTACTGTCCATATATAGAATTATTCTGATATCATACACTCAAAATACTGGTCCCTCAGATCCTTTAATTAGAAAATTTCTTATACAATTCAGGAAATGTATTTATGTACATATATATAATTAGTTGTTATAAAGATTTGATTTGTTTCTGAAGCACAGTTTATAACAAGAGGATCTGTACAGAATTTTCATTACCATATTTTTGTTTATATATTCCACAGAAAATTGCTGGACTAAAATAAAACTTTGCACAATCCACCCCAGCAAATACCTGGCACCTATGGAGTATCTGTTGCTTCAGAGGTACAAGTTTTTACATGCAATTTAAAACTGGTATATAATGTGTATTCACTTTCAAAGGGGTCTTTTTAAGCATGTATTTAATACAATTCAAAACTTTAATTTTATTGAGAGTAAAACAATAGTTACCTATCTTGTATCATTCCCTTTATTAACTTGGCTTCTGCTTCATTCTCTTTCTCTTCTAATTCATTTGTGGCAATTCGTTCCACTGCAAGCCTTGCATTTAAGTTACGAAGTTCTTCAATTAAGGCACGTATATGAAGACACACTACCTGTCCTAATTCTCTTGCACCTTCTAAAAGCAAATGAAGTACACTTTTACGAGTACGTGCACAACTTCTTGATAACCTTAACAAAAGTGCAGTAGCATCCTCTAAACCTTCTTCAGAACATGTTTTTGATGTCAAAACCTGCAAAAAAATAATTCAGGTAGTTTTAATTTAAGAAAATATACATTTCTTTATAAGTTTTCATGTACAACAGTGTCTTGTGCAATGCAGGAGATAAGTTCCATGTTATAGGAAATCACGTTATCGAGACATACTACTCAGAATAGGTCCCCTGATGATGTATCATTAAGCTAACGAATACAATAAAAACCAGTTTCTATCCGAACCACATGATTTGTGTTTAATCAACTGTGAAAATGCTATTCCGAGCTGTACATTTCATTTTCGGTTCCGATAGTCACATGCGATAACTAAGCTTTTGTTATCGATCACTCTCGACCTGCTGTTAGGAACGCAATGAAAGTGTAAACACAACATCTTTTGGTGTAAGAATGATTTTACTTCACGAGCAATTAGAGAGAGACAGAGTTAATAAACTATGTAGTTGTATTGCTTAAAATTAATTACCTTAGCTATTTATGAATAATTGCTTTCTTGTTAAAATTTAAAGTAAGTAGCTATAGCATAAACATTATTTCTGAAATAGGTTTCATTCGTATATGTATAAATGAAAATGATACTTATATATTTACATTCAAAGCTATCACTTTTTGCCATCATTCTGGATCTTTTTGTGAGACAACTCCATCGGAATTCAGATGGTCAGCTATTTCTTGTCAAATTTCTAGTGATCTTTTACAATAAAGGAAGCATCTAACATCCCTGACATTAATTGAAGGTTGTCTCCCATAAAATTAATGAGCATCTTGAACTGGCGACTTTTAGTTTGTTGGCTTCATTGGCCTTTCTTTGACATTTTAAAATAACTATTTCATTAGCGCTGGTACACGACAATACAAAAACCACATGCTTCACTTAGAAAATGACGGGTTGCAGTCACATGACAAAAATATAATGTTAACTAAACAGTGATTGGTTAAAGTGTAATAGCTATTGATAGTGTGAAACCCAGATGCATCTCAACCGACTACCTGTAGCAAAACCCACTTAACGCAGAGCACAGAATCGTGATTTGTCTAAGGTTTTGTTAACTGCCTTTTGCTAAGAGGACTTATCGAATGTCCCGTGTGTCACTCTTGTTGAATTATCGGAAGAGCTCAGAACAGGTCCCCAGATGATTTTATGCAAGTTCAAACCTAGGCCTAGAAGTTGAAGAAAATGTATATCTCTTGATGACAAAATTAGAATTTTGTATGAGCACTAGTTGCAATTTTTTTGTTACATTACTGGGGAAGCATGCTATTCAGGAGTTCTCTGTACTATGTAAAGGCAATAAATTATTTTCAATAAAAATTTTTATTATTTGACCTATGTCAAATGTTAAAGTACATATAATACTACCAAAATTTTTTTCAAATCTATTTCTATAAAATAAAATTTTGTTGGTGTTATTTTTTCAAAACCATTAACCTATTATTATATCAAATCTATGAGCATGTTTCCTTGTCAAGCAGCTAAATAAGCAAACTAAAGACAATCATTTCATATAAAACAAACTACATCATTGGCTTGCTTACGTAGCTGCTTGACAAAGAAACACACCCAATATGACACATTAATGACTTTTACTTACAACTACTTTAATTTCTATACAATTTCAAAACTTTTTCAAGAAAAATGTTTAAGGGCTTGTAAACTTTGATTCTTCATAAGCATAATAAACTATGAGGATATTGTGACAGCAATGACAAAAAGCCTATCACAATCTTGGATTATAATAAAATCAAAAGTGCTATCAATACTTTAGGCAAGCTTATTCTAATACTAACTTGTAAAAGACAAACAAAACAATAGCCAATGTCAACCTTTTACTTTATTATTAACATATAATGCCTTTATTTTATAGTATAAAATCAATCCAGAATGGCACAAAACAAAACTTGAGACAAAAAATAATTTTTGAAGAATAAGACAATCCTTGGTCAAATCATTTATACAAGTAAGACAATATATGGTTCAATACAAAAATACTGCAATCATCAAGATATTACAAGGAACAAGCAAGACAGAGGAAATAATATTAATAAAAACTGAAAAATATATAGCTTCTGTCCATTGTGTAATAATAATAATAATAATGTTTTTTTTTTAATTTACGAAAGAAAAATTGAAATGTTCGTCACCAGGGGAAATCTTCCAAAATCTACATTTTCCAGTGCTTGTTCAAGTAGATCAGTGTTTCTCAAAGGGGTCGATATCACCCCCATGTGGGTGTTTTTCCATGTTGAGGGGGCGATTAGTAACAATTTATATTTTGGGGGGCGAAAAACAATTTCTGGGCAATATAATAAAACATTATATTACAAATAATTACATATTTTATTTGTTATATCGTACAATAATTAAATAAATAACATTATACTAGTCACTAGTCTATTCGATGCAGTACGAATTTGGTGTTAGCCTTGTCCCTCGGCATTGGAATTTTGTAGTGAAGGGGGTGATACTATGTTGAAGGGGCGACAATTCGTTAGAGGTTGAGAAACACTGAAGTAGATAAAAGCAGAAACATCCCATAGGATGAATGAAAAGCAAGACATCTGTATATCACCAGTTTGTTTTTTAGAAATTTTATAATTTTAATTGGATATATTTGTGTTTTTTAAATTCTGGCGGCATGTAGCCTATTAAGAAAGGTCGGCCACTGTGAATGTGTATAGTCTGGAACATAAGAAATAAATGGTGGTCCCTTTTGGGCAGACTGTCTTTAATTTTATTATTATTATTTTGTGAATGTCATGTTCAGCTGATATTGATGCTAAATGCTATGTGAAACTCAAGTCAAGGCATAGCTATCCAAACAAGGGTAACATTAAGCTGTGTTATTCATGCGTGTGTGTCAACATCTAGAAACTTCCTAACAATGTGACACACATTCAATATTGCAGCTTTCTGTAGTGGCATGTATATGTTTTTATCAAGGTTTAATGTTTCTACACTTTTGTGTAGTGTATGTGGTATAAAACCAGTAAAAGAGAGGACAACAGATACAATAGATACCTTATCTATCCTCCACATCTGTCTTATTTCTTGAGTGAGTGGCGTGTTCTTATTGATTTTCTTCAGTGTGAGCAATTTTTATGTTATGAGTGTTTGGAACAGAGATGATAAAATAGATAGGAATATATATATATATATATATATATACCATACATATCCATATATATATATATACACCATACATATCCATATATATATATACCATACATATCCATTTATATACCTATCCATTTTATCATCTTTAATAACTTAAATTTACAAAAATATACTTTACCAACTGTTATTGGTTTACTCTCACCCAAACATAAGAAAAATAAAAAATAGCAAACAATAGGAAAATTTTAAAAAAGTCTTATTCTTTTATATAAAAACATTTAATATTAACAGCAAATAAAAATCTACATTTAAAGAGGAAAAAAGTCAATTTTCTAAATATATATAGTGAGATTATACATGTGTTTTAGATGAGTTAAAATAGTGTTAAAATTTATCTATTTTATACACACATCTGATTAAAACAAGTTTCAATTAACATTACCTCAACAGCCAATTTTAAATGTTGCTTAATTATTATATCTTCCTTTTCTTCCTCTTCACCTAATTGCACATGAGATATTGATTCTTTTGAAGGAACTTTGTCATCTAACAAAAACAAAATATAATATTTATTGAACTGTATTAATAAATATGTTAATCTTATTCTTAAAGTAGTTTGGAAGCAATTGTATAGTATCTAAATTAATTATCACCCCTAAATCCATTAAAACAATTAATCAATATCCAATTATAACATTATCCTGTAATGTTTTATTCATTAAAAATAATAAATACATAAAGGAACTATTTACAACTTCTCTTACTTTATAAAAATACCACAATTTTCATATCAGAGGAAGTCAACATATTTGCTATTTGTGACCTGGCTCCATTTTTCACTAACTACTTTTGAATCTCATCCCATTTCAAACCAAATCTTGATTGGTTTTGTCCACATACAAAAGTATGTGGGCAAAACTGGTCCCTGAATAATCCTAACTTAAACCTACATGACTACTTAATTGGGAATTCCTTAAGAAAGTTTTTTTATGAAACAGCTGCAATGATGATGAAACTGCAAGCATTAATCATTCAAGCATATAATGAGAATTGAAAACATGGGCCATCATCAAGTGATAAACCTCGTCAATTTGGAAGTTAATGAACATAATGGTCATATTAAACACTTGATTCAGAGGATAAATCTCCATGCGATAGTCTAACTTTTCATATGCTTACTCAACTTTACCAATACTCAAATAGGAGATTAATTAAGGAGACAGAGATAGCCTGATAATTTTCAATTATGCTACAATATAAATTTTGAACAACAAGAAGTATGTAATTTTATCAATTCCTGGTATGGGTCATTTTGTGCATTATGTTGTATAGTCATAATTTTTCCAGTTATAAATCCCAATTCATTTAATTGTTATTATTTAACTAAAATAGATTAAGATAAATTATTACTTAGCAGTTGAAAACATTTGATGACCAATTTTAAAAACAAGTTTTTTTTTTAATTTTGCAATTTTAATTTTTTAAATACTTTATTAGAATGGACTTACTCTTTTTATTATATACTTCATTTTTAACATTTAAAAGAAAATAAAATGACTCACCCTCTGAAGCAGCTGTTTTCTCTTCTGCTACTGGATGACTGTCATCTCTTCCACATGATGGCACTTCCATTGCACGAGATATTAAACTATTAGTCCCATTTCTCAAATTTGCAGTAGCATTTACACTTAAAAGTTGATTTGTACTTTGAGTATAGTTTTGACTATCTTGGTCAGGAAGGGCAAGTGATATAAGAGCTAATAACCTAAGCAACCTATCAGTTAACAATGAACTTCGTTTCACAACAGGATGAGATAACATGCTTATTAACTGTGCCATAGGTGAAGCTTCAAAGCTTTGATATTTTGTATCATCATCAATGTTAGCATTACTGTTGCTTCCAATCATTGTAGTAGTACTATGAGTCCTAGCAATACTCTTTCCTTTTCTACTTGTACTAAGAGAATCAAGTTTAATTAAAACATCCCAGAAATCTGTATCTTGACGAGAGAGAGATCCACAAGCTTCAGTCTTCGATGATGTTGAAAGTACTTGTTTGGAATCAGATTTTGCTGTAATTGGAACAGTTGTTTTTGATGCCCTGTTATCTTGAGCAATAACATCTTTTCCATATTTTTCCTCCTTTGCCTTCTCCGGCAAAAAGTGAATTGGAAAACTCTTTGCAAGAGAAATCAGTGTATCCAGAACATGCCTAGAAAATCAAACCAAGTATTAATATATGTTTTATAAAATAAATGAAAATACAATACAGTGGCTACATCTCTAGTCAAAAATACAGTCGACCCCCCTATAACGTACGTTCCTATAACGACAATTCCTATAACGTAGCGAAAAAATTGTAGCAACTTTCGTATAACGTACCTCCTATAACGTCGTTTCGCGACAAGATTGATAGAGTCTGGACCAATAGTGGATGAGCAGCCGAACTACTTTCCTCCGACCCTGCGCCACGCTACGGAGCGGCTAAATTGAGTTTGCTATCGTCTGTTTAGTATTATATATAAATTATATATAAATTAGGTACTGTACATATAATTATATATTAATTATATATAAATTAGGTACTGTATATATAATTATATATTAACTTAATTTATTGTAACTTTATTATAATTATATATATGCTTTCTGCCGCCTGGCAACACGCTACGGAGATTTTAGGCTAGTAAGTTGAGTTTATTATCGTCTGCACAGTATGTAAATTAGGTACCGTAAGTCTAATACAGCACTAATTTTATACATTTCTTGTGAAAGAAACACTTCTTATTCAACGTCCATAAAAATTATTTATATTAATGATGTCTCCAAAGGTCAAGTTATTTTTCTGCGAAAAATTCGTTATCAGAAATTGCGGCCGTCGTTTCGTGTGCTGTTCCGCGATGAAAACCAGCTTTAAGCAACGGCGTAGTCGAACGGTACACACTCGGTAAGTAATCCTATAATTTTTTGTTTATAGCATAGTTTATACGGATTATTCCCAAAAAATTATACGTGTTTTGGAAATGTTGAGTGGAATTAGTCTAGAATCGGTTAATTTTATAGAAGAAAACCTTTCGAACAGCCTTAGTCCGTAAAGTTCCCACCTATCGGGCTGCAATTGGCTCATGTATTTAATCGTTCCTACAACGTAATTTTCGGTTAGCGTGGAACGCATCTAAGCGTTATAGGAGGGTCTACTGTACACAATCTTCATTAGAAGCTAGCAACAAAACACAATCTCCTACCCTAGATAAACACATTCATTTAAAATATATATTAAATGAAGTTATTTAATAAAGGAAATGCAAGCTGTTGAAAAGCATCAAACAAAGGAACAGTTCAAAATATCAGGTAAGACATTTTATATCAATTGATGTATTAATGAATAATTGTATCATTTATGTTACAACTTGTATATCTTGTAGAAAATTTAACCCACAACTTTTATGAGAAACTGATCTCTATTATTTACTTCATTTATTATTTGACTAACAGGTTTGCCTGTATAAGAAATTAGATTTTTTATAATTCAAATTTGTAATTTCTTGATACCAATCTCTTTTCTAATGCGAGAGTCTGGGGTTGGAGCAATGATTTATTTAATAAGTTAAAATTTAGATATATTATTTTGATGTTAAAAGTAATTTTTCCACTTTTTAATGATAAAAGTTGATGTGAACAAGGAAACTGAACTTCCTTTTTAACAATCTGCTTCTTAAAAGTGATATCATTTCTGATGACAAACTTGTAGTAAAAACAACTCATTGTCAGATGATCACAATCTGAACTCCTCATTGGAGAAAATTTCTAAATATAAAGATTTTGCATGCTTGATTCAAGGTGAATTCCTAGTTCTCCAAACTTATGTTTGTGTCTTGTCTCCTCTGACTTCCTGACCTCTGACTTGCATACGAATCATCAAGAAAGAAATCAAGATCATTGATTCATTCAGAGGTATTATATCAAATTTTACGTAAGCTCTCTCTCTCAGTATTTAGAAGTCTATGTAGTTGGGAATCAATATAGTGACAGATTATTCCTTTATGTATTTCTTTATTATATTCATTAAACTTTTGTTTGTTATTTGTTAACCTATCTGTTCACTTGGTTAATTAAATACAGACACCTATCAATAACCTTACTCACTGCTCTCCCCACTCAAAACATTAATTATTATAAATCTGAGAAGAAGGGCTTTAACTATTAAATCATGAGACAAGACCCAATAGAACTTTCTTGTCTGGTGTCATAATTCTGACTAGACTGAGATTTCACAATCTTTGGTCTTCCTTCAATTTAAATGTCATTTTAAGGCCATCCACTGACAAAGTGAGTGGTTTTTACCAAACCATTGCTGATTAAGTGTCAATAATAAATCCCTATTGACCCCGGCTTCTCACACTAATAACTTAATTTCTTGTTTATGTCTAATAAAATAAAGTATGAAGAGTATTATTTATGTAAATTTAAACTAAATAAAAAAAGTAACAAAATTTAGGATAAATTTAAATTTTCAATATCAAAAAACATTAAATACAAATTAACATTGCTATAATACCTAAAAACAATTGGAGAGGCTTGAGGATGGATTGTGACAATTGGTTGGCAGATCCCAGTTGTTACAGATGGTGAATGTTTATCACTTGGTTTCTTTGGCCCAGCACTGTGACCATGACGATGGATTTGGAAGACATTAGTACGACATCCCAAAGCAGCATCTAAACTAATTGATAACCATGATGGTTGACTGCTTCTACTTGCTGATTCCAATCTATGATTTTATAAAACAATAAATTTTATAGTTCTACTATGTAGAGAGAAATAAAATTTAAACTTGCACATCTACAGAATTTCAAGAAAATTAATATACAGAATTTATTACAAACCAATATTCAATTTATTACATGTACGTTTATGTAATGTTAAAACAATTTTAGCATAAATTTTTGAAATGTTTTTTCAAAATCCATTTCAGAAATTTATTACATCTTTAAATTACAAAACAATTAATATGTAATTTTCTGTAGTGATTAATATACAGGTATTTCTTGCTTAATATGGAATTTGATTAATGCATGAAATTAATTGATGTGGGTTTACCAGCTGTTTTTATATATATATATATATATATTATATAATAATTCCAATACTATGAAATACTTAAACTAATAAGAAAAGTCTATATTTACAAAATGAGTTTCTATAATTATATAACACATTTTTTAATTACAGTATTATATCTGATGACGACGAAACAATTAAAAATGCATAATTTAAAATTTCTATAATAAGATTTAAGATTGACTTAAGAGACTAAATGAACTTCATATGGTTTTTTTTTGTGAAAAAACATCAAAAATCTTTATTAGTTAACATAAATAAATATGACACTAAACATGAAATTAAATAAAGGTTCAACATTAAACTTTATTCTAATATTTAAGTTTTATTAAATTTAAATACCTGTGACTTGAAGGGCCAATATTTTCAGATGTATGACTGAAAGTTTTCACAACTGACTTTTTGGCACGATGGTAAGTTTCAGAAAAATGATCATGATTATTTTCTTGGAGCCTGCTGTCTTTAGTTCTTTCTAGGACTGATAATAATGCCTATCAGAGGAATAAAAAATTATAGATTATTAATATATAATTGCAAATAGTTAACTTCCTTGAATTATAATAAGCAAAATTGTTGTATTTGGGAAAACTGACACTGTACATAGTAAATATCTAAATGTTTAGAGAATTGGTGTAAAGTTTCTTGTCTTGAATTGTTTAAAACACTAATGCACAGCTACTTTCACACTAATCCCATTCAACAATGATACACTTTTTTTCAGTGCTTGTATAAATTCTGGAAGCATTGCTGTAAACCATCTTTTACAACCACCCATAATGCCTCCTGCAATATTGGTTTTATCTCATTTGATAACTCAAACTGATCTCAGGCTGCTTATGATGGATGAATGAAATAAAATGCCACATTTTACATCCAGTTATGTGCTGTATGCACAAGTCCATCTGCAATAAACAGTGTCATATCATTTTAATGCCATTTTGAGTAATCAAGTGAAATAAAAGTAACATTGCAGGTATTACAAAATGTTGCAAAAGATGGCTTACAGCAATGTTTCCAGAAGCCATATGAGCACTGAAAAAAACTGTATTGTCACCGAGGGAATTAGTTTGAAGATGGCTGCACATTGGTTTTTAAACTATTCAAGGCAATAAACTATATTCAAAGTCTTTTGGAGTCCATTTAGATAATTTTAATATGTAAATTTTTTTAAAATTTCTAAAAAAAATTTTTTTTTTAATTTGAAAAAATATCAAACAGAATCATATTAAAAATATATCTAAATACAATTCAGAAAAAATAAATATACAAACTGCAATGAAACAAACAATTAAATGAAACATTTCAAAGAAATCAATAAATAACAGAGCTAAATGATGAAAATACATTTATATTTAATTAGTTAATTAATAAAATATATTGTCTCATAAATTTACAATCATCAATATGGCTTCATTGATAAAGATATCTATTGAATCTCTTTGTATTACTCAAAACTTTACTTTTTTTATGTTCTTCCTATCCATTTACAAATAATAACTGTTTAAAATAATATAATTATATTCCTTATAAACAGATTATTAGCAATAAACAGTATTCTTTCAACATACAAATATGAGAAAGTTGATTATAATGCAATTTCACTTGTCATAACAGCACAAAAAAGTCAAATTTATTCACTTCATTAAAAAGAGAATGTTTAAAAAAAGGACATTTACATTGGAGTTGATCTTTAATTAAAAGGACAACTATTCTAACATTTATTCTTCCAAACACTTTCTAAAATAACTCATGTAGATATTTGATAAAAATTTAACAAATGCAATAATATAATAAATATATAAAATAATTGATAATTAATTTTGACATGACTACCAAAATCAACAAATTAATGTAAATCTTGTCTTACAAAATCAATACAGAAAATTTTATGATAACTGAGTTATTAAACTAATTTATGGACTTTTTAAAATTGAAAAGAATTTCATTGTAGACTTACACACGGCTTAGGTATAGAATTTTTAACAATTGTAAAATATCTATATGGAAATATTCAATATTTGTAAATTAAGAGTGATAATCATGATTCTACTAAATATCATTTTTGTTTATATATATATTTTTTTCTTTTTAATCCTAGAATAACTATGAAAGACCACTAGTAAATAATTTATAATTTTATAAATATTCACTTACTTTTATTACCCATTGCCTTGTAGGGGCATGATAACATAAATTTCGAAGTACACGATGTAAACGACCAGTATTTAGTTTGGGTTCATCTACAAAAAGAAGAACTAACAAACAAGATAAAGCTTCATGATCTAACATCTGCCTTCCACGTAAACGCAATGAACTGGGTAAAGATCCACTCTGAATTCCCCCAGTTCCAGCAGTTGAGCTTCCAGCACCCCGAGAAAGTGTATTCCAAGTCCATTGACCTCTTTGTGGAACAGTATGTATTGTATATCTAGTACCCATTCGTCCTATAAGATATAAAATCTTTGTAATTATAAACACACATTTTTTTTTATCACCACCTATTTAAAAAATATTAAATTATTATCATGATTTAAATTTTAAGAATATAATCCCTACAATTTAAATCATATAAAACAGAGGCTATTAATTTTTTTTACAATAAAGTTATAATGAATAAGTTTATTACTCAAAAAATATCAAATAATCATAATAAAATAAATTATATAGTAAGAAATGGATTTTGAGAAACATTTTAGAAATTTATTACATCTTTAAATTATGAACCAATTAATAAGTAATTTTCCTCATGAATATAAATTATTATAGACAATTTCAACTTATTTTTTTGATAATCTGTTAATTCAAAATTTGTATGAAAATATTAGATTTTTTGATGTATTTAATATCCTTCTCTCATGAAATAAAATCAAATCATTTAGAATTAAACAAATAATCCTATATACCACAAATAAAGTGCAATCCTGATTTACGAGCATACTTCATTCTTGAAAACCTCTCTTAAGATTGATAAAAAATATATTGGACAATTTTTTTTTAAAGAGAAACTAATAATAATAGTAATATGGAAATTATGGAGGATATTTCACTTTATCTCCTAACATCATATGCCAGAAAGCAGGTGACAGCATATCTGAATTATCAGTGATGTGAACTACAGTGCAGATGCCTGTTTCCCTTTAATATGTTTTGAAATAAATGAGTTGAACAAGCAATATGTTTGCATCAAGTTTTTCTGGAAACTTTAAGACAGTTGCCAAAATGTACAAAAATACTTCCAAGTATTTGGAAAAACAGCTCTTGGAAAATCCAAAACATTTCAAAAATGGCTATACTTCAACTGATGATGACCCACACAAAAGCTGATCAACAGCATGAATCAGTGAACTATTGATTTGTCATATTGTGTATAAAATTGTTTTGCAGTACCTTTGAGATGCAGTTCATTGGAAATTTTGCAAAAATGTCTTGGCTTATGCACCATGCCCTGCCACACACACAGTGCTGAATTTCATGGAATTTTTAGCCATGCACAACATTCCACAATTTCCCATCACCTTACATCATCAGATTTGGCAGCCTCTAACTTCTTTCTTTTTCCCAGGTTCAAAATCATTTTAGACAAGAAATGATGTTGAGACATGCTGTCATTTAAGGTAAAAAATCTTTGTTGTATGCTGTTTTCAAACAGCCCTATCAGACATGCTTGGAAAAGTGGAAGGGATCCCTGCATACATCTAGAAAATAGCCAACTCCTAGTAACCAATAATTGCATTTGTTTTCTTACAGTAAGCTTGTCCCAGATATTTTTGATCAGCCTTTATAAATCAAAATCTAATATATAGGGATAATCTTTTCAATTATTTCTTATGGTCAAAATTTATAACTTGTTCCAGCCTAATCCAGTCACCTATCCATATTCACCAAATAACATTGAAATGCTAAAAAAAGGCATTTATCTATCAACCAACAATTTTAAATAAAATTAAAATTATTTGTTATTCACCAATATGAAAGAACACAAAATGACACACACAAATATCAAATATTTCTTCATTTAATGAAGAATTAGCTAAGATAACATAAAAACAGAAAACAAGATAAAATTGTTTTTAATTAAAGAAATTGTAGAATTACTCAAGGAAACAAGCAATTATTTATTGTAACACCATCACAGTGTCAGGCTGCAGTTTTTTAGATCTCATTGCACAATGCTTTTGACTTTAGTAGTGTCTTGCCCCTGTACATCATACTTTTCCTGTTAACAACAGTGCCATGCTGCAGGTTATCTAACTCACTCTGCTCAAGAGAAAATTTTTGAATTGAAATATGACTTCTGGAAGTTTGTATATACAGCAGAGTCCTACTAGTCCAAACATGTTTCAGTCGGCGGAGAGGAAATTTTTTAACTTGCAAAATATATGTTTTTTTTTTGTATTTTCCAGTTGAATTTAAATGGTATTAATGGTACAAAAAGTTTTAGAATTCCACCACAAAAAAAAATTGTATTTTATAGTACAGTAATACCTTGACTTACGTGAACCCGAAGTTACACGCTTTTCAAATCTCATTGATTCATCTTTTGTTTGAGCACCACGCAACTCTCGATTACTCACTCCCTCCACACTATTGTTCAGCTTACATGTTCGGACATGTCGCGTGGAATCGACACAGCTACAATTTATTTTGTGTTTGTTATATCTACGGAGACTTGAGAAACTCTTGGTGGTGATTTCTTGTAACCGTGAATGAATCAAAAGATGGGATAAGATTAACGAGAACATTTATTACATCACATATATCCGACTTGGATTTTACAAAAATTGCGAAATTATACCCCGACTTACACGAATTTGACTTATGCAGTTATCGCTCGGTCCCACCTATCGTGTAAGTTTGGGGTATACTGTACTGTCTTAATACTGTACAAAATTAATAAATCAGTGTTTGACATGACCTACTAAAACAGCAGATCTATACAGTACTTGCACACAAAAACAAAAGTCATTGGTAGTGCTGGATCTATATAAACCAGACCTGCTTTACTGCTTGCTTCTGCATTATTTCAATCATTCAGCTAATCTGAACAAAGCTCGGTCCCAATTAGTTCAGACTAGCGGGACTCTACTGTAGTTAATTGAGGACTTTGGTTCCTAAGCTTTCTGTTCCAGGTCTCTACTTTCATGTAACTAATACCATTCTAGAGATTAAGGATGAACAAACAAACACCAGTGAGAATTTATAGGTATGCAATTTTAAAATTGCAGCCTGCAGCCCAACAAGATATTGTTAAAGTCATCATCAACAGTGAACAATAGCACTTGTTCTGTAAACAAAGAGACCATTAACAAAAAAGAAAAGAGTGACTGGAACCTATGAGTTATCTAATCAGATCATATGAAAATTTTAATATCATAATTAGAACATTTTATTCTTGTAAATATCAATAGGAATTGATTTTATCAAATATTTCAGCTTCATAAATGGAGAGGGATAGTTAAGAAATTGTACTGAATTCTTAAAGATTGAGGAATACTTATAAATAGGCCATAATGTATAGAAACTTGGGGGGAAATATATATATATAACAAAAACAACTATGTGAAAGAGGTTTATATTTGAATACTATTGTTAAGAAGGAAAAAACAGTAAGACATTGTACTAGCTTTCTTTTTATATATTACATCAATAACCAATTTGTTTATACTATCCAACTGTCAGAATTTGAAAAATCTAACTGTCAGAATTTGAAAAATTGAATTAATATTTTATTTACAGCAAAATGTATTGCTGTAAATAAAATATTAATTCAATAAATACTACACAATTTTAATCCAAATACAAAACTTTTTTTACATTTGTGTGTACACTATTAAAACCTAAACCACACTACGATAACTGATCAAACGATAACTGATATACTATAGTTTATATTTTGATATATCAACAAAAATTAGTATATTTAATTTACACTGACACTGTAATCTGTTACAGTTGAGTATGTTTTAGTAAAAACAAGAAAGGAATTTATGCATGCATATCTGTTACATAAAGTATTACTTAATATAGAGTTTTTATCAGTTACTGATAAAGTCTAAAATCAGACTTTTTGCTATCTTGCCTAGAGTAAGACAGCAAAACTCTTAGAATTTTTATTGATAAATCAGAACTATCCTGTTCAAATTGAGATGATTAGTAAAACTTCATACATAAAACAATCTTGTTTACGGATAGAGATTCCATGATGATGAATGAAATTATTCACTACAAAATTATTTGAAAATTAATCTGCAAAATCTTTAAAAATCATTAATAGAAATATATAAATCATATTTGGTTTTATATATTTCATTTATATACTTTTATATTCATTAAAATTTTAATTAATCTTATGGACACACATTTATATTTTTAAATTTGATATTTTAAAGAATTTTAATAGTAATTCTGCAAACAAGTTACTTGACTCAAAATGTAACTTTTAGCTAAAACAAAATTTTAATTTCTTGTGATTATTAAAATAACAAAAAATATCACAGGTTATCTTCATATCAGGCAGAAACATTCCAACTTACACCAAACAACCTACAAAAACTGACAGCCATTAAGTGAATATTCATTCATATTACTTCCATATTCCTTTTGGATATATTTTTGCCTGGTGAAGATCCTGTAATTACAAGAGATCTACCTGCAGAACGGAGAATACGGGAGAGGGCAGTACCAGCATGGGAAGAAAGGAAACGTTCTTGCATCTGTCTGTGACGAGCTTCCAATTCTCTTCTTAAAGCGTGAGCTTCGGCTGCTAAGTCAGGAGGGAGTAGAGCAAGAAGACTATCATCCATATCTGCCAAAACCTTTAGGAATTTATAGAATTAAAAATATATTCACTTTATTAAATCATGATGATAAAAACACTTGAGATTATTTACCTGTTGCCGTAATGCAGGTGGTAGAGTTTGAATAAAACCAGCAGGATCAACAGGTGTGTCTGGATTTGAATTTTGTGCTGCTAATCTTTGCTGTTCAGCTCTTTGTTGAGCTAATACCTGCAAGAATTTTCATTTTATTAAAACAATGAAAATTAGACCATACCAGAAAGTGTTCATATAGCAATAAAATTGGCAGAAATTATAAATAAATATATACAGTATGTTTTAAGTATATATAAAATTCATAAAATCAATAAATAATTATAAGAATGATGATAAACATACAAGTAGTAAAAAATAATATACGTATCAAATGTTTTAAAAAAGTTTCACTTCATAAATTACATATGTGAAAAAATTTAAAACTTAGTTTTATGTTACATGTTTAGTTTCTTAAACTTTAGTCAAATAGCCCACAAAACATCCTTGAAGATGTTAATTTATAATACTTGACTGCAAAAAGCAAGTCAATATCTTAAATACTAATGTACACACATGTAAGTTATTATCCAGTTAGTTTTCTTGACTTATATAAGCATTTCAAACATTGTGCACATATTTTTAAAAAAATTAATTTACCTCTTCTTGAATATTTGGTGGTAAGGCAGCTAAAAATTCTGGGTTCACTTCAGTAAAATTTCCCCCTTCAGTTGTTGCTTGGCTATTTGCAGCTTGTGCTCTCTGGCGTAATCTTTGTAGCCTTAGTTGTTCAGCTATAACCTCTTGTCGAATATTTTCAGGTAATGCAGCCAAGAATGAGGGATCAACACCTTCTGGAATTTCTACATCTAATTATAATAAATAAAATTAATAAGACATTAGTAAGGTTATACTACATTGTATATGAGTTAAATTTATAAATATTTAATTTAGCTATCTATTTTATTTTTTATTATACTATTTTTATGTTAACACATTAACTTTTTAGAACATTGTTATAATGTAGAATTAACAGCATTATTTTTTTAAAAAAATGACAAGTAATGACTATTTAATGTTAACATAAAATTTACAATTAAGACAATATATTAATCCACCAGAGATGCTAGAGATGATTATTTGTTAGAAATTTTCAATATTACATTGATTTCTTCAAGAGATATTCATTCTTGCATATTTGCCCATACTGACACATATATCAATTTTCACAATACTAAAATTTATACAGAAAGTAATTCCAAATAAAAATCTAAAGTGCAGTTATGTTTTGAGTGAAACTTTGAAAAACATAAAACTGAATTTAAAAAAAAAAACAGATTAAATCATTTCTTGGTAATCAAAATATTGTAATATTAAAATATTCATATACATTCAAGTATTAATAGTAAAACTTAATGTTACTCTTTCAACAAGTGCAAATATGTGCTTAAACTATATAAACACAAATACAAAAGGTTAATTTATACGTTAGTCTATTTTATAGAAATTTTCTAATTACAAAATAAAATATTACCTCCAAGAATATTTGAAAAATCAGATTCTGTTAAGACTGATGAAGGAGTGCCCATATTTTCATTTGTGGCTCTATTATCACAGGTTATCTTCATATCAGGCAGAAACATTCCAACTTACACCAAACAACCTACAAAAACTGACAGCCATTAAGTGAATATTCATTCATATNCTCAAAATGTAACTTTTAGCTAAAACAAAATTTTAATTTCTTGTGATTATTAAAATAACAAAAAATATCACAGGTTATCTTCATATCAGGCAGAAACATTCCAACTTACACCAAACAACCTACAAAAACTGACAGCCATTAAGTGAATATTCATTCATATTACTTCCATATTCCTTTTGGATATATTTTTGCCTGGTGAAGATCCTGTAATTACAAGAGATCTACCTGCAGAACGGAGAATACGGGAGAGGGCAGTACCAGCATGGGAAGAAAGGAAACGTTCTTGCATCTGTCTGTGACGAGCTTCCAATTCTCTTCTTAAAGCGTGAGCTTCGGCTGCTAAGTCAGGAGGGAGTAGAGCAAGAAGACTATCATCCATATCTGCCAAAACCTTTAGGAATTTATAGAATTAAAAATATATTCACTTTATTAAATCATGATGATAAAAACACTTGAGATTATTTACCTGTTGCCGTAATGCAGGTGGTAGAGTTTGAATAAAACCAGCAGGATCAACAGGTGTGTCTGGATTTGAATTTTGTGCTGCTAATCTTTGCTGTTCAGCTCTTTGTTGAGCTAATACCTGCAAGAATTTTCATTTTATTAAAACAATGAAAATTAGACCATACCAGAAAGTGTTCATATAGCAATAAAATTGGCAGAAATTATAAATAAATATATACAGTATGTTTTAAGTATATATAAAATTCATAAAATCAATAAATAATTATAAGAATGATGATAAACATACAAGTAGTAAAAAATAATATACGTATCAAATGTTTTAAAAAAGTTTCACTTCATAAATTACATATGTGAAAAAATTTAAAACTTAGTTTTATGTTACATGTTTAGTTTCTTAAACTTTAGTCAAATAGCCCACAAAACATCCTTGAAGATGTTAATTTATAATACTTGACTGCAAAAAGCAAGTCAATATCTTAAATACTAATGTACACACATGTAAGTTATTATCCAGTTAGTTTTCTTGACTTATATAAGCATTTCAAACATTGTGCACATATTTTTAAAAAAATTAATTTACCTCTTCTTGAATATTTGGTGGTAAGGCAGCTAAAAATTCTGGGTTCACTTCAGTAAAATTTCCCCCTTCAGTTGTTGCTTGGCTATTTGCAGCTTGTGCTCTCTGGCGTAATCTTTGTAGCCTTAGTTGTTCAGCTATAACCTCTTGTCGAATATTTTCAGGTAATGCAGCCAAGAATGAGGGATCAACACCTTCTGGAATTTCTACATCTAATTATAATAAATAAAATTAATAAGACATTAGTAAGGTTATACTACATTGTATATGAGTTAAATTTATAAATATTTAATTTAGCTATCTATTTTATTTTTTATTATACTATTTTTATGTTAACACATTAACTTTTTAGAACATTGTTATAATGTAGAATTAACAGCATTATTTTTTTAAAAAAATGACAAGTAATGACTATTTAATGTTAACATAAAATTTACAATTAAGACAATATATTAATCCACCAGAGATGCTAGAGATGATTATTTGTTAGAAATTTTCAATATTACATTGATTTCTTCAAGAGATATTCATTCTTGCATATTTGCCCATACTGACACATATATCAATTTTCACAATACTAAAATTTATACAGAAAGTAATTCCAAATAAAAATCTAAAGTGCAGTTATGTTTTGAGTGAAACTTTGAAAAACATAAAACTGAATTTAAAAAAAAAAACAGATTAAATCATTTCTTGGTAATCAAAATATTGTAATATTAAAATATTCATATACATTCAAGTATTAATAGTAAAACTTAATGTTACTCTTTCAACAAGTGCAAATATGTGCTTAAACTATATAAACACAAATACAAAAGGTTAATTTATACGTTAGTCTATTTTATAGAAATTTTCTAATTACAAAATAAAATATTACCTCCAAGAATATTTGAAAAATCAGATTCTGTTAAGACTGATGAAGGAGTGCCCATATTTTCATTTGTGGCTCTATTAATGATGGCACTAATAATAAATAAATAAATAAAAATATAATATAATTTATGTAATTTTTCAAGATCACTACTTTGATATTTATACTAATAAAACATTATAATAGTTAATTTAATTCATTAATTTATATAATATATAATACAATATAAACAAGCACATGAAATATTTTAGTTTGTAATCAGGGCATAATGATTTAAATTTATAAAATCAGAAAAGAGAGATACATATAGACAAAAAACAAATAATTTACATTAATTTGATTTTTATGACTAATAATTGAAAATTATCACCAAATTTAAAAATTAATTACAATTCCTAAACATTTTTAAATAAGTAAGTTTTAAAATTTCAATTAATATTTCTTAATGTTTGAAATTAAAGTTTCTTTCATATTTTTACTTTATACAGTACCTTCCAAATTATTAACCCCATGCAAAAAATTTATCATTTTGTTTTTGATGTAATAAATCAATATTAATGCAATTGTTGATAGAAGTATTTAAAATATTTATGTTAAGTACGTTTTTTGAAATAAAAATTTTTTGCATATAAAAATTCAGGATCAGTATAGGTAATTCCATCTGATTCCCTAACCAATTATGACATTGTTCCTTGACCTATTAAGGTCTCTGCATTTCCTCTTTCCATTATGCAATATTTGGCCAAATCTATTTAATCCCATTTTTCACACAATTATATACATTTTTTATTAAAAACACTTTATTCACTTCTTACAAAATAAAAAACTCGTGCATAAAATTGATTGCATAATTAGCCATATCATTTTTACATCATAGTTTCATAATTTTATTTAAATTATTAAATATTTATTATATTACATTATTAAAATTATTTAAATTAATTTGTAAATTTTATTTAAATAAGAAAAAGACATGCGCCATGTCATAAAACCAAATTTTCTTAAAATGAGGAGGCAGGAAATTCAAAATAATTTAAACAGTAAATCGCACACACTGAGGGGAGAAATCACTCAATGCATGATTTTTTGGTCCAGCATAGATCCATTCAAGGTCATTACATTTCTTCTCATTTCTCCCTGAAACTTACAATGGGAGCAGTGGAATTTTGGCAGAAAAACGGGCCATTGTCAATGGAGTTTTTAAAGACCCAACATTAACTCTAAGGGGCCAGCAAAATCCCATCACCACCTCCTTGCGGTGCCAGCCTGGAACATTGACCTTTGGGAAGAAGCTAATGATGAGGTCTCCAACGTCAGGCAGTGCAACATACCGGATGGAGTATTTTCAGTCATATCAACATGCAATGCCCGATCAACATTTAATGAATACTGTTAGGGCGTCCCCCGTAGGCAACACATGTTTATGCCCGAACGGCACGAACAGTCTGCAAGGGCTACCTGCCCCTGGATGTGGTGGGCTAAAAAAGATAGTCCAACCCCTACGAGTAGCCACCATCAACATTGGCACCCTCACCACCCAAAGCCAAGAGTTAGCATTTGCACTCAAAATGTTGCAAACAGACATTGCCTGCATTCAAAAGACAAAGTGGAAGGGCTCAAACGCTCGAAAAACGAGCGGTGACAGATTCAACTATTGTACAATGGTACAAACTCATACTGGAATGGCGTTGACATAGCAGTTAGTAAGTGGTTCCATGATAGCATCTCTGACCAGCTAATGTCCATGAAGATTGAAGCCAGCAAACTAACTATCCAAGTCATTTCCTGCTATGCCCCACAACAAGGCACCCTGAAAGATGAAAAGGACAAATTTTGGAGAAGCCTTGAAGCACACCTCCAGTTAGTTGGTGATGATGAATTCCTGATAATCGATAGTTATCTCAATGGCCATGTCGGTGCAACAAGAGAAAACTATGAGCGAGTGCATGGTGGGAGTGGATTCAGGAACCAGAACGCCGAGGGTGACAGAATCTTAGAGTGTGTTGAAGCTTTCAACTTGGCCATTGTCAACACCTTTTCAAAAAGTGAACCAGCCACCTAGTGACCTATGCCAGTGGTAGTCGAATGACCCAAATAGACTACTGCCTCATCAGAAGACAGGACCTAAAATTCGTGGTCAATGCCAAAGTAGTTCCATCAGATAACATTGCACCTCAGCACCACCGACTCCTCATAGACTTTCACCTTAAGCTCAAGCTCAGCAACACCTCAAAACCTGAAAAAACTAGACCTGAACGAATTAAGTGGCACCGCCTACCTGAACATAAAACTCTGTTCAAGGAAGCAGTTGGTCTGAGCATGGCCAACTTCAACAACAATCCTGAACATCAGTGTCCATCATCTGGTCCAGCCTCGTTCAACACATCCACATGACAGCCTCAACCATCCTAGGCAACACAAAACCTGAAAGGAGATACCTCGACAAATGTATTTGGTGGTGGAATGAAGAAGTGCAAGCAGCCATCAGAGAAAAGAAGGTGTTCAAGAGATGGAGGCAATCAGGTGCCGAAGACAAGTATGAGCGATACCGGAACCTCAAGTCCTCAGCAAAGAGCGTAGTTGCAGCAGCAAAGGCTGCCCACTACAACTGCCAGTATGAAGACCTTGACATGCCAGAAGGAGCAAATAAGATTTACCAGATTGCCAGTACTCGACATCATGCAACCCTAGATATACGCCATGTAAAGAACATCAAAAATGACCATGACCAGATACTCCATGACCTGTCAGCCATCCTCCAAAGGTGGAGTGAACACTTCTCAGCCATCTGCAATGAGGAGTTCCTACACCCTCCAATCCACCAAGCAGACCCAGTACTAGGATCAGTCCCCCTGATATCACCACAAGTTGGAAAGGCTCTCATGAAAATGAAAAATGGCAAAGCACCTGGACCAGATGATATACCCACTGAAGCATGGAAGCTTCTTGAAGGGCAAAAGGAAAAGGCCCTCGCAGCCCTCTTCAACAAGATAATTGAAGACAGAGAAGTGCCAACAATCTGGTCAACTAGCATCACAGTGCCAATTTGGAAGGTAAAGGCAATGTGGCAGACTGTACCAACTACCAACCGATCCCACTCCTGTGCCATACCATGAAGATATTTGAGCAAATACTCGACACTCGGCTTTGCCAGATTGTCAACCTGACTCCAAACCAATGTGGATTCATTGGGCTGTGGAACAACAGATGCAATACATGCTGCCTGACTACTTCACGAACGATACCGGGAGAACAAAACTCTCCATATAGCCTACATGGACTTGGAGAAAGAATTTAACTGTGTTCCACATGACCTTATCTGGCACTCGCTCAGAGTCCATAGTGTCCCAGAAGCCTACGTTCAATGGACCCAGCTCCTGTATACTGATGTGACCAGTGTGGTCATATGTCCAGTGGGAACCTTACCCCTGTTCAGCATTAAAACTGGTGTACACCAGGGATCAGTCCTCTCACCCCTCCTTTTCATCCTCTGCATGGACTGTACAACAGCCAATATTCAACATCCACACCCGTGGACGCTACTCTATGCAGATGACATCCTCCTTGCAGCAGAGTCGAGACAGGAGTTACAGGACCAAGTCCTCCAGTGGAACAACCACCTTGCTGGTGTTGGCTTCAGGCTCAACATCAAAAAGACAGAACACCTAGAGTATGGGGCCCAGACCAACGGGTCAATTAACATTGAGAGAGAAGACCTTAAGAAGCCCGCTCAGTTCATATACCTTGATTCACCCATCAGCAATGATGGTAAAACCTACCCTGGATGCAAAGGCACGAGTCAATGTAGCCTGGCTAAAGTGGCGGCAATGCACTGGTGTCCTCTGTGACCGCTGTATGCAGACCCGGCTGAAGGTGAAAGTCTACAAATCTGTCGTCCACCCAGTGGCCCTATACGGATCGGAATGCTGGCCATCAAGCACCCACCATGAACAAATTCTCCATACCATGGAAATGAATATGCTTTGGTGGTGCCTCAGCTTTACCGACTCAACCACATCCCGAATAAAGACATCCGAAAGATCATGAGAGTGGTCCCTATATCTGAAAAGATGCGGGAAGCAAGACTCAGATGGTATGGCCATGTCATGCATAGTGATGAACACTCAGTAGTGAAGATAGCATTACAACTCAGCCCACCTGGATGACGACCTGAGGGCGCCCCAAAATGAGGTGGATTGATCGACTGCAATATGACATGAGGAGGGTGAACATCACTCCAGTAGACACATTGGACCATATCAAATGGAGAAGGGCATGCAAAAAAGCAGACCCTGCATAGAAGCAGGACTTCAACGCTAGGAAGAAGAGATTAACTCTAAGGCAATATTTTGGTATATTTTTAAACTTCCAAACATCCATGGGCCATCTGAAGTTGAAGATTTGCAGTTAGAGAAAAGACATAACACAGATCATCAATCTGTCAAAATTGGCAGATTACTATCTCCACACACTACATGTGGCCAGCAGCAAAGAATACAACGAATAAAGTGAACTGCATGCAGGTAAAAAAAATTTGGAGCATTGCATGCAGGGACAAAATCACATTTAAGGCATGAATCCATCTCTTATTAGAGGAAGGATACAACGTAAATGAATAAAGTTTTGTTGGTTATTACATTCCAAGTCAATATCTATCAGTTCAGGTGGCAGCATACTCAAAGCATTTACATCATAGTTAACACACTCAGTTTTCTTACAATCTGCATCATAGTCTTAGTCATTTTGGGGTTTTTTGATTCCTTTTAAATTTTTCTTTCCAATGATATACATTTCTGTTCATATTTCCTTTGCAATTTCTTCAATATTATGAAATTGCACACTTATTGGCTTATAACTTTACAAATTCTATTTTATCTGTTGTTATTGCTAAATAATATTGTAGATCCTGTCATTTTAAACAAATCAACACCAATTTCAACATCCTCTCTCTTTGCAATCTAAAGTTATACACTGCTCAAATGCCGTGCAGCATTGCCATTTTCAGTGTTCGCACACAACCACAAAACCCCCTTCATAGTTGCCCACACAACAACACACCATTTTAAATATGAACATCCAACAAAATTTCCTCTATCCAACAAAAATCCACCAATATCCTCTATCCAACAAAATTTTAATCATTAGATCATCACTTATAGTTTATGAGATATAAGCATGACAAATCTTCCCATTCTTTTGGTCACTCCAGTTTTTGTAGACCCCTATACCAAACAGAATTTAAAGATTTATTCAAGTTGAAAAAAAGCAAGATTGACAGACAGATTCTGCAGTATTTATGGATTCCCTGACTTTCCCCAACATTTGATGCCATTCCCTGCTAAAAATCTTATTCCTTGATATCCCTGACTTTCAGGTCTGTATGGACCCTGAATATAATAAAATTTTAAAAATTGAAAATGAAAATTAGTATTTTGTATGGCCACTGGTAGTGCTTCTATATGACAAATACTTTCTATACTTTTTTAATTTTTGTTCTCGTGAATGAGTTATGGTACCATACCTCAAATAACAACCTCTATCAGTTCTTTTTTTGTACTAGAAAGTTGATTTTACTTACATTTATAGTGTTGCCATATAAAAAATTCATTAGTAGTGTTTGTGATATATTAAAGAATAAGAATAACATGAAAAATACACATTCCTTAAACATTATTTTGAAAAAAAAAAACATTAAAAGTATGATTTTAGTCAACTGATCTAATAATTTGGCAAGATACAAGATACTGTAATTCTTTTAGTGCAATTTTAAATATTTTCCAAATTTTGAAACTTAATATTAGCATTGTTTTATATCATTATAGCACTTATTCACTGAACTGTATGTATCAAATTTCAATTTTTTTGGGCAACTTTTTTTAATTTTGAAAATTATCAAAATTAATTAAATCTGTAATGTTAGATTCTGTCAGCTTCAAACTTTTCCAATATAAATACAGTAGAGCGTTGATTATCCGAAAGTCAATCATCCAAAAGAATTCCAGTCGGCAAATTTAAATTTTCGCCAGTGCTGTGGCGCTGCAATCTTTGGCTATGTCTTGGGCTACTCAAATATTTTACGTTTTTGATACTAAATTAACTTCTGAAGTATAATTTTTTGTTGTTTTTATATTTTTCAATATATTTATTTTGTTCGTACAAAATAAAAAAATAATTTTTAACAATACAATAGTCTTCGTTAGGCTTAACATCGACAAAAATTCAACGCGAAGTGACATGCAACTGAGAAAAATGTCAAGATGAGATTCAGTATATTAATACATTTTTTCATACATAATCAGTTATCCAAAACATCGATCTTCCGAACAACCCCAATCGATTCGGATAATCGACACTCTACTGTACATCAAAATATTTTAAGAAAACCTTAGTAATTTTTCTTAACTTTTAAAATTATTTGAAAATTAAAAAGGTATTGAAAATATAAAAATTGAAAGCCTTATTTTAAAGACAAAATATTTATTCTAATCAATATTCCTTAACAACAAGGTAAACTAAGCAAAATTTATATATTCCACTCTAATACTCTAATTTTAAACAACAAAGGAAAAAGTTCACAAACTAAACTAAGTTTATGATATATTGGAAATTTATTTATCATCAAATAATATCAAAATTTGAACAACTCCATATTCAACACAAGTATGTATATACAAATACTTGCATGCACATGTCCAAAATATGAAGTATTTAAGTAAATAAAACTCAAATTTTGTACTTGTATCTTATTTAGTTTTGAAAATATATTTAATAAAGTAAGTAATATTAATAAAAATTAAAGTTTTACTCTATTAAAGCTTCAGCTGCACAAGTCTGTCTATTTTCACTTTGTTCAATCATAGAATTTTCAATCTGAGGTAATGAAGATTGATCAGTACTTTCTTCATTTCCACCTAAGAATAAAATTATTATTATCTTTTATTCCTGTTAAGACAATGAAAAAATTATAAATATAACATGCAGATTTAAATAGATAAAAATCGAATAAATATAGAGCATAATAAACTTTTATCAATTTCTTAAAATCTTAATGAAAATATTTACACACATCAATAAATCATTTTTGTTTAAAAAGTTTAATGTTTACATACCAAAAATTGATTGAGTGAGTGAACTAGATACATACATTTGCATGCAAATTACAGTGGTGCCTCACATAATGTACTGTACTTAATCTGTTCCAGGTGCACGTCCGTTAAGTGAAAAGTCTGTTATACGAAACGCATTTTCTCATAGAAATACATGTTAAAACATATAATTCGTTCCGCAGCATAAAATAACCGTACTGTACCATGAAAAAAATGAAAATGGAGCAGTCACCAATTATGCCGGGTAGTCAGATGTTGTGAGGAAGAGGTGGAGAAACACTTTCTTTACACATTCATACAGATACAGACTTTTACATATTGCAGCAGGTCTCTTTTTATTGTTTTTTAATTGAAGTCCGATTCAGGAGAGGCTACCAGAGCATGCAGGGTCAACTCCTCTTGTTTCATCCTTTGTTATTTGGCAGCTGGCTTCTTGAAAAACATGTTCAAGGTGGTCTCTTTCTCTCTCTTCAATAACACCTGTTGGAAATGACAGGCAAGGGTGTCATTGTAAAGATCATTGATCCTGTTGGCCTCAGCTCTGTTTGGATAATGAGTGTTGATAAACTCCTGAACTTCTCCCCATTTGACAAGGAAGTTTTTGTCAACTTTCACTTCTGATGATTTCTTGCTTTGTTTCAATTGAAATCAGCTTTGTTTTTTTTGGAAGCCATGATTTGCACAAAACTTGAATAAATGTAAATACTCTGCACTGAGGTGATTTACATAATAAACAAGGAAGCAAGCCGAATCCCAACAGGAGCTCTGTACTTCAGATATACTAATAATATATTCTAATAATACTAATATATATTATAAAAATAGCAGATTGTCATTGGCAATGGCGAAACAGTGGAAACATCATTCGCACTTGTTCGCAGAAAGACCGTTGTTCGCAGCCAGTCCGTTGCTCAAGTCACGCAACAGCCAAACAGAAAATCCGTTATTTGCAGCGTCCATTATACAAGGCATCACTATATTACATTTAGAAGATTAATTCAATTATTTCACACAGAAGGCCAGTTTCTTGAGTTAAGTGACTGAGTCATAATCCATTTATGCAATATAAAGGAATTTGGAAAGGTATAGGTAACTCTACTCAAGGCCATCATTATGCTGTATTGGGGACTGATATCAAAATGATGGTTCTGAAAGTTTAACTGATAGCTAACTTATTATTTTGTATAAAAATAAGTTTATGTATGAAATTTTTATTCGTATAATTATAATTAATGAAATAAATTTTTAGAACTAACTAAATATATTAAACAAATCAATATTTGCATATTAAAAAAGATATATTTTAGAGGTGTAAAAAAAAAGGGATAATGTATATACATTAATAGGAGCACAGTACTAACATGTCGCTAACATATACAGTGGAAGCCCGGTTAACGAACTTTTATTTTGCAAAAATTTTGTCTCGGATAACAAACAAAATTCGGATAACGAACGTGGTGGTATTTTGTGTCAAATTTTTGTTGGTGTTAGGCATGCGCGAGTTAAGTTGTGCGTAACATTGCTTTTCCGAATGTTTGTGCTATACTTCTTTTTTCAGTTTTGTGATTTATATATTTAATCAATATGGCATCAAAGAAAGAAAAAGTCATAGTGGCATTAGAAAATGACAACACAATATAAACGACAATGCGCTATCGCTTTTGAGAAAAATTTTGATTAAAAGAGTAAGACAATCAACTTTAGATCAATTTCTTGTTCCTTATGCAAAGAGTTTGTTTCTTTGTTAAGTTATGACAACGCAACACTTGGGCGATCTGACTAGGGGGAATGCCTTTTGGGAGGTGTTTTTAAGGGAAACTGGCCCCTATTTAGGGGTTACAGACGTGGAGAAATCCCAGAAAACTCCACGTGACCAGCCCGTCTGAGTGAGGTGTGAACCCATGAACGAACTCCCTGTGTTCAAGGTACGAAGACCACTTAGCTGGTGGGTTTTTTTACCAAGACTTCGACTCGAAGAATCTTCCAACGAAGTGCTACCCATTATTTTTTTTGGAGGGAATTCTCTTTCTAAGCATTAAGGTTCGTATATCTCCACTTTTCTGCCAGCAACTACAACAAACAAAGGTATGTACAGTGCTATTTTATTAAACAAAGTATACATGTTTGTTACTGTAATGATAGATACTACGTTTTCCTACATTTTCATCAAAGAAAATTACTGTATATTACAAATAAAATGACAAAAATTTCGGAGACTAGAACGAATTAATTGCATTTGCATTAATTTCTATGGGAAAAATTGCTTTGGTTAACGAACAATTCAGTTAACAAACGGAGTCGCGGAACAGATTAAGTTCATTAACCAGGTTTTCACTGTACATGATATATTTAGTAATAAATTCCTTTTATGTTTCATTGTGGATTAAGTTTTCATTACAGTGAAATAATTGTAAGGACCTTTAGAAATCAGTAGCTAGATGGGATTATCCATAAATTATGTAATGTTATTATGTACTGTACAATCCTACCATTTGCAAAACATCGACAACTGACTTCCTTAATTGTACTAAGGAATAATGCACAGCACATAATACTGAAGAGCACATTATTAATTCTGTGTATAACATACAAAGGTGTGATAAATAATACAATTTACCATGAAATACTTCCAAAACAGAAATGACTAACACTTCAATTTACTTGCTTATCCACCCAACTATATCTACATTATGTAATTTATGAACAGCCCTAAGTTTATAAAACACACAATAATTTTAAAGTAATTGCATTAATTGTCTATATGTAGGATAGATACTTGAAATTAATATAATGTAACAATTTTAATTTATAAAATTAAATAAGCAAAGTTTAAAAAGCAATATAGAACTACACCACAAAGAAACCAGATAAGCCAGCATTATTATTGTAATAAAAATCATAACTAATGATTTTAATAAAAAGTTATAAATTTAATAATAATGGTGAAGTCACTTCTAGTAGATTCTGTAAAAAATTTTATAATTTTGGAGCTATTTAACTACATATACTCATGTATCAGATGATTATAAAGATAAAGTGTTTTCTTCTGTGCCAGTCAGTTGTCAGTGATTAGAAATTTTAGATTTGTTTATTGTAAGCATTGAAGTTTATTAAAAATTATTCTTCTATTAGATTCTTTTAATTATAAAAAGACAAATACAGGAAAATAGATAAACTCTTGACTCAATTTCTTGTGCAAGAAGTTTTTTGAATAAATCAATGTCAGATATTGGAATATATACAGCTAGTTGTTTGTAAAATTAGAGAAGTAGAGAAGAGATTCCATATTAATAGCATATACACTTGTTTAAAGGATATCTGAGCATTACTGTGTTCTGGAACACATGTTTCATTTGCAAAGCACTCAACCTATTAAAGCATTAATCTATCAAATAAATTTTGATATTTTTAAATTTAGTAAAATAAAATTCTTTATATACCTCCAGGAAACACTGGAATTTGTCCTTCTCTTTCAATATTAGCCAATTCAGCATCCATATGTAATGCATCATCCTGTTCAGTGCTAGCACCTACTGTATCTTGATTTTCAGATATTGGTGCTTCTGAAGTGCATGCTATTTCATTTGTTTCACTAGCAAGTGATGCTACAAAAGTTGGTTCACTTGTATCCATTGGTGAAGGTACAGCTGAATTACCAAGACTGTCTTGTTGAACTGATGAAGGAACAGGTATTCCTAAAGCACTACTGCTAGTGAATGTACCATCCTGCCATCTTTAGATAGATGATTAAATGATTATTATGAAAAATTTAATTAAAATGAAATTATTAATGAGTCAACAAACCTTCCAGTAAATGGTGTCACAGAAGTTGATAATGTCATTCCATGATTTGCAGTTGTCACACCCATCATGAAATTTATGGCTACATACAAGAAAAAATTTACAAAAGAGAAAAATGAAAATGTTTATAATAATTTAAATTATTTTAAATTTTTAGGTAAAACATATGTTTTCAAGCTTTAATAAACATCTTAAGACATTAAAAATAGCAAAAATAATATTTAAAATTTGAGAAATTAGGTAAAAATAAATTTCTGGATAAAACAATTTCTTGCCATCAAAACACTAATTAAATGAAAAGCAAAAAGATATTACAGGAACAACAACAGATAATTACAAAAATTAAAAAATGTGTAGCTTATGTATACACAAAGGTTTTGCAAATATAATTATACAACTGAAAATATAAATTATATATACACTTACGTTTTCAACTGTATATTTATATTTGTAAAAACCTTTGATAACAGAATATAAGAGAAATTATACTGAAAATTATTAATGTACAATTTGAAAATTCAAAAATAATAGCAGAAAATTTCAAAAAGTTAATTTTAATGTATTTTAAATAAATTTAGTTATTGGACAAAATTTCAATTATCTGAATTATTGTGAACAGAAGACACCTCAGATAATGGGAAAATGTTTGGTAAATTATATAATAAACTTCATTCTGATGTATTAATATGTACAAATTCATTTCAAAATTTATAGAGCTCTTGCCAAGTATTGAACATCAGCTAAGATTTGTAAATCAAACTGAACTATATTCAATTTCATAATTTTGTTGACAATTTATCCACAATTCATCTCAATACATAATCTAAGTCAAATAGATTTATACCAGTCAGCAACCTGTGGTTCTTGAGGTCCTCACTTTTAGCTCCTAAGGCTTTCACAATAATTTTATTTTCCTGTTTTCTGTCTCTTACCTTTGTGCAACTTTAAGTTGATATTTGTGAAGAACATTACTCTCATCTTATGGAAATTTAGTTTGAAACTATTTATATTACTAGTTTGCCTATCATTACCATATGTTGTTTTAGTATCTAGTATATGTGGAATTTATATTCTTATTAAATCCTGAAAGTTGTCTCACTGCCTTTGATGGTTGAACTCCCACATTTCATTTATTCCCTCCCATATCTCAGTTAAATTAGAAAAACAAAAATGTAATGTAAAATAATACAGAGCTAACTAATAATAATAATAATAAAAAGCATCTTAAAACTAGGCAAAGTGTGCTATTAATAAACTGATCAAATACAATATTCAGAGATCAATTTTGATATCTTATAGTTCATAAAATATTTAAATTTTTGAAATTTCAGGGATATCAAATACATTACCAGATTTTTCTGATAATATTTGATATCCCATTTTAACTATACCATTTTCTTCTACTGTAAAAATTTTGATAAATACTAATACTGTAAAAAAATGTTTCATACTAATAAGTGAATCAATAACACCAATGTAACTTTATTATATTAAATAATAACAACAATATATGTGGAAGATATAAAAAAAATCTTCCACATATATTCAGACCATACATAAATTTGACAAAAATTATTTACATTTATGTCAAATTTTCATTGAAGAAACTGACAATCTATAATAACTGAAGTTAATTTTTTAGAATCAATAATTTGAAGATGAAGAAATTTTAAATATATTTTTTTTAATTTCACATTACTAAAATCTACAATATAATGTGTTCTGCTTATTGTGATCATAGATAATATCAATCAAGATTGATGGAATCATCAAGTCTCAACAAAACCTATAAAATAGCAAAAACTGTCATCATTAATTGTAATTAGAAATGTGCTTTCGTTTACAATTTGCTTGATCTTTCAATCCTGATAAGTGACTATTGTAAAGATATGATATGATAAAGATATGAAGAATGTCAATACAAACAGAAGCTACATTTCTGATAGTCATGCTAAAAACATCACATAGCAAGTTTTTTTTATCATCATGAAGATAATCATAATGAAGAAACTAAAACAACTTGAAACCTGTAAAATAGATCTCTACATAATATATAAAAAGATCTACAAATTTTGATACTTCAAACGCATTAGAAATCATGTGAATTTCATCAACATGAAGATTTTAATAATGAGCTGATTCAAATTAATAAAAGTTAAATTCTTAAACTCAAAACTTAAAATTTCATTTTAAAACTATATTGCTCTTTTTTATTACACAAATTAAGGTAAAATTCGTATTTCAAGTTTTAAAAATGTTTTTTGCCCTATACTGGTAAAACCATTCTAACTGTTAAATGTTATCACTTGGATATTATCATTTCATCTTAGTTGTAAAATGATCACAATAAGCAGCATCCACTGTATTTTAAAATAAAACAAAATTACCTTCACTAACAACAGTAGATATTGAGCTGGTTGTCAGTGTAGGCATAACTGCAGGTGCAGTAGAAGCCATTGAAGGATTAGGAGTAGAAGTAATGGCTAAAGCAGGGCCAAGAACTTGTTCTACAATAGATGCTGCTAAACGTTCTGTATTTAATGATGTTCCAACTGAAAATAAAAATTATTTAAAAAGATTAAAACCCTGGATGATAAAAATTATAAATAAAATCACAATGTTCAGAACTAATTTATCAAAAACTGTCCTCAAGTGAAATAAAATTTTATTTTTTCTGGAAATTATTTTTGAGTTCATTTTTATTTATCAAATTTGGAAGTGAGAGTTAAGTGTACAAAATCTGCTAACTGAATGTAATAGAATTTCACTATTAAATTCAGATACTGTAATACCCCAAACTTACGCGATAGGTGGGACTGAGCGGTAACCGCATAAAAGTCGGGGTATAATTTCGCATATAAATACATACAAATAATTTTTAATTGGGGCCGGAGACTAAAGAAAATAATAATTTAGAAAAAAAATGTTTAATAAAATCTTAGATAATACATATGTATAACAAATTAGGCCTATATTATTTTACAATTTTTCACATTTACTTGATTATTACGCCATAATTTTAACATTGTTTCCGATAATACTGTGACATTTAGGAATGATGCTTGAATTTAAAGATTGAGCATTTTTCACAGCTTCGAGAATTTTTTCTTTGCCTTTTATAATTGTTCTGACCATCAATTCCGGTAGATCAAACTTCTTTGCCAATTCACAAATTTTCATTTTTGTATCGAAGTCTTAAATAATGGGTACGTTCGTAGTCAAACGAGTTAAACGTGTTAGTAACGAATCGTTCGAAAAGTCTAACAAAATAGGAATAACAATGACGTCATTCTCGTTTAACTCGTTCGACTTTACGAACATACCCAATGTTAACTTTACATTCCAAAGATAAAGTTTTTCTTTTCTTGTTTGATGCAGAAGAATTAGTTCTACTTTGTTTGGATGACATAGTAGTCTCTCTCAAGTCTCCGTAGATATAACGAACACAGAAATAAATAACACAAAATAAATTGTAGCTATGTGTGGATTCCACGCAACACATCCGAACATGTAAGCTGAACAATAGTGTGGGGGAGTGAGTAATCAAGAGTTGCGTGGCACTCAAACAAAAGACGAATTGATGAGATTTGAAAATCGCGTAACTCCGGGTTCACGTAAGTCGGGGTATTACTGTATTCTATTTTTGATTAATTTTGAAAGATTATTCTTGTAGGTTTCTAGAATGTGTGTATATTTTTTGTATCCATTTTGATCTGACTTTTAAAATTTACAATATTGTTGATATTGATGCAATGAATTATACAACAAAAGATGAAATAAAATATCCTGATACACTGGTAATCAAGAAAATTGATTACCAGTGTCTGAGAATCTCCACAACCGATATCAACTGATTACAACAGTTGATATTTTAATTAATAATTTTTGCAGCAATAAATAAATTACACCTAATTCTGTTTTTACACGATAGATTGGTTCATGGAAATTACACGTAAAAAAAACAATGTAAAAAAAATATATTTTATATAAGGAAAATTGAAAAATTGATTATGAACCTAAGAAATCAACAAAACTAATGAAATAAATTATATGAAACATCTCATTAAAATCTTATTTTTTTGCATGTTATCAAATTTTATTTCACACACATTTGCACATAAATAAAAATAAATTATAGGAACATTAATTTCATTTGAAAAATAAAACGTAAAGAGTTAATGAACATACTGTAAAAAATTAGGCATAATTTGTAATTATTATTCCTCACATTTAGAGCTTATAAAAAACAAGAGAAAAAAAATTATGATGTCATTTTCTATTTATGGAAAACAAGCCTCTGTAGTTTTTTGTTTCTATTACACAATGAAGTGCAGTATAATCGACACAAGGCTTTTCTTTACATCCTGCTTTTAATTCACTTTTATATTTGCCAAGACAAATTTCGGGCATTTGCGCCTCATCTATCAACTTTATTTTTTGATGTTACATATTTGTCTTAATGGGTATAAAAGTATGGCTTTTGCCTTTAAGTGTTTGCTAGTTTCTCTTTTTTGATCTTGAGCACTTAATGTCATTTAACATTTGCTTCCCTGCTTAACAGTGCGCTTGGAGAGTAAAATGCTGCTAGCGGATGTTGAGAAGGGAAGCAAACGTTAAATGACATTAAATGCTCAAGACCAAAAAAGAGAAACTAGCAAACACTTATAAGCAAAAGCCATACTTTTATACCCATTAAGACAAATATGTAACATCAAAAAATAAAAAAGCCGACAGATGAGGAGCAAATGCCCGAAATGCATCTTGGCAAATATAAAAATGGATTAAAAGCAAGACGTAAAGAAAAGCCTTGTGTTGATTATACTACACTTTATCATGTAACAGAAACAAAATAGAAAGAAAGACACGGTTTCAAAATAATAAGCCTCTGTAGATTTAACTCCTTTGTTGTTAAATAAAATTTTATTCATATTTATTTTCAGACATGGTGTTATTGTGATATTTGATGTGGAACAAACATCAGACCATGAGAAAATTGTCTATAATGTTAACAATTAAAATAAAACAGCAATAAGTTGCTCAACTTTCCTGGCAACATTTAAAATTTTTGTGGTGCCATCTGATATTGTATTTTATTAAAAACTTTTTATATTTTTCACTATTATAAAATGGCAAAGAGCTTAATTTGAGGGTAGGAATGGGTTTCATAAAAAAGTGCAAATGCTAATAATGAGTAAAATCGTCATTAAGTCTGACTACACTCGAGATACACACGATCCCCATTATCTCCCTACCTCCTCAACCTTTAACCACAAAAATTTAATAGCATCAATCCCTCTAATAGAGAAACTTCCCTGCAAAATTTCAGAAATTTTGGACAAAAATACAAAAAGTTATTAAGCTTCAAAGAAAATTTGAACATAAACAGAATTGTGCACCACCCCCACACACATACTAACATCTATACTGTGTACATACAAAAAATATTTGGGGGTAGTTTCTGTATTTCTCAATGTTACAAGGTGTCCCAAGTCCAAAACTGTAAAAATCGGGGGAGAGTCATTTTTTGCAGATTGCCATACTTTCCCTTTGTTATAACAGCCAGAAAAGTAAAAATAAAACACAGATTATGTTTCCTCATTTTTGTATCACTTGTCTTTTTCCTCCATGTGTAGTAATGTATGAAGCTTATTTGCTTGTGAGGAATAATATATAAAGTATGTGAAAATAAATGTAATGAAATAAAAGTTTTATTTAACAATGTAAGAGTTAAAACTATAAAGGCTTCTTTTCACTAAACAGGAAATGATATAAAACAAGAGAATAAAAATTGTGACAAGCTTTAAACATAAGAAATAATAGTTATAATAATGCAACTGATGCAATAAAATAATAAAGTTTCATATTAAAAAAATTCTGAAGGTTCAAACCTACATTGTCTAGCTCCAGTACCTAGCATCTTATTCACTTGGCTATCACCACCCTGGCACATGAACTTCCAAACATTTATAAGCTAAACACTGAATTTTTAGAAGCCCAATTTTTGGAAACGATTGAGAAGTGGGTCCTGCTATTTGGACAAGGAGCTGTTTGTGTTTAAGGGTATGTGCTTACGAAGTTTCATTCAAATGGGAAATCTGAATGTCTCACCCTCTCCTTGTTAGAAATAAGAATAATTTTTTAATAAATAATTCTGAATAACACATTTCATTAGAATGCTTAAACAGAATTTCACAGGCTCTGTCATGTCAAAATTTTTGTTTTAGTCTATTAAAAAAAATCAAAATGAATAAAAGTTATCCTAAAAAATCCCCAATCTGAAAACATTGAGTGGCATTGCACAAAACTATCTTCGGTTCTCAACATCACTTCCTACTTTTTTGCCTGAACTTGCTACATGACGTCATGAAATCACTAGATGTGTGGTGCAAAGGATTCCCATTGTATGGAAGCTCAACATTTTGCTGTTTTTCCTGAAGCGTGCTTCAATTTTATGCTAAATGTAAAAACAAGCAGACTAGGGTTTTTATTGCCAGTATTATATTTTTATTGCCACTTTGAAGTGCAATTAAGTAAAAATTTTGGGGTTATGCAATGCTAAACCTGCCTTTAAAACCATTAGAATATGCATTGTTTGTTTTAACAATTAATAAAAAGATTATTTACCAGGAGTTGTTCCTGCAACTACAGCTGGTGTTGTTGTTGTCGTAGTAGTTGTTACTGCAGCAGTTGTTGTTACTGTTGTTGTTGTGGTTGAAGGTGTTGCTGGAAGAACATTATTCATTCCAGAAATAGCATTAGTTTGATCAGTATCTGTTGCTATTGCTTGACCTGATTCTGTTATCTATAAAGATATTATGGATGAAATGTAACTATAAAATATATTTTAAACATTCAAAAATTGCAAAAAGTAAAAAAGCAATTCCTTATATATATCCGTAATATATATACAACTATATATGATTACGGACAGTAATAAATTTACTAATTAAAAAAAATAAGATATTACCTTACATGATATCATAAAATGTTTCTCACAAAAAGTAATTTGTATGATAAATTGAAATAAATACACAGTAAGACCCTGCTTAACATGGAGGATGTGTTCCTAGATGACAAAGTGCTAAATGAAACAGAGTTTTAATGTCCTGTAGCTTTCAAAGTACCAACCTGAGTCTTCCACACCAGACATGAAACAAAAAAGAGAAACTCTCCAATTTTGAAACAAATATATAAACATTTCCTTCTAACACATCAGGTGGTAGCACAATGTCCATTGTCAAAATTGCAGCTATACAGCAGAAGGCATTTCCAATGACTATCTTTCAGCAGGATGGGTCGCCACTTCATTAACATATTGAGATGCATTGATACCAGAATGCAGAATACCCACACCACTGGATTGGGTGCTGCAGTAACAATGACTTAGTGCTGTACAGAAGTTTCTCATATATCATATCATATATATATATATATATATATATCAATTTTTTGCCAGGGCATGTAAAAGACAGTTTACAAGTTGCCATTAACCATACCTTTGGCAGAGCTCTGGGACAACATTCTGTACGTTTCTATATTCAACGGTTGACTCGACAGTGAGAACAATGTTTCTAAACGGACCGTTGAGTTCTCTGTTGAGACTAGTGACATCAGCGCTGTTTCACCGTTGAGCTCAACAGTCTCAATGACCTGAAAGACTGATGAGTATTCAACAAACTAACATGGTGGCTTCCATGAAAAAATAAATTTTGCTTATAGAAACTATCCATTTGCTGCTGTGAATGCTAAAATAGCGGACAGATTAATTAATGAACGATCTGTATATGATAAAACATGTGATTGTATGATTATGTTGGATATTTGGTCAATATTGAAATATTAAGATTTTTTTCATTTGTTCGAAATTGATTATGACCAATATTTGGCCCTCTAAGTCTTCCGAATGATATAAATATTCAAGAAATTAATTAAAATTATTAAGGAGAGACCCAGTATACAAGAAAATGATACAGATATGGGTTAATTTGAATAAAAGGATTTATTCAAATAATGGTTAAATGAGTTACTTTAATTATTTAGCAAAACAATCACAATCACCATCTTCTCGTTACTTAATTCAGTCAGTCATCTTGAAAAGTGACCTCTCAACGAAAGTGTTTCTTTTTCCTGCAAAACATGACGTTGATCGTTCAACAGATGGACTCAACTGTTGAATATAGAAACGTATGGATTATCACTGCAATTATGACCATCCAAGAACACACTAAAATGTGCATGGCAAATTGGACTACCACTTGGACATGTGTCACATTACTAAAGGAACACATGAAAAAACATCTATGTCCTATAGCACAAACATTGAGTTTCTCATTCTTTTAATATATCACTTATTGTTAAATCTGAATGAAAATTGATGAAAATACAGTTGCTTTAAATCCAAACAAACTTTTAATAATCTTTATATCTAAAAAAATGCCTAATTGTATATAACAAATAATCACATTTCATAAATTGATATCAATTATCATGGTCCAGTTTTTTTTTGTAATTAAGAAATGCTGTTGTGTTTATTAACAAACATAAAATTTCATAAATATCAACTTCCCAAAACCCAATGTATTGATTCTAAGCCAAATGATTGCTGAAATGAATTGGGCTATTAGTATGCTATAATTAATAAATTAGAAAGTATGTATTAAATTTTGTGTCTTATTTTTTAAAAACAAAAATCAAACGCACTATATTGGCTAATAATTAGTGTTGCAACAAATAGTATATTTGGTCTCAGGCCGAATACTCGGCCAGGAGCGTGGCCAAATACCCGAATATTCGGCTAAGCTATTCGCCTTGATTAATGCACGTACAAAAATTGGCACGCAAATTGCATTATGGCAAGGACCCTGCTATCTATTGGCCCACTGTCACTACGTTTCGCCAATCGTGTTAATTCTTGACAGTTGTTGTGGACAGACAAGAGTGTTATGGCAGTATATGATAAATGATGATATCAAATGTGGATAATAATAAGCTGCCTCGACTTGTTCAATTATGTTACCAACTGAATTTCATATTTATTTTCACATTTTTACGGTCCTTCACGTGTAAATAACAGAAAAAGGAACAGAGAAGGACCGTGAAAATGTGAAAATAAATATGAAATTGAGTAGATAACATAATCGAACAAGTCGAGGCAGCTTATTGGCGTGAAATTCGCAGCTGTCAATGCCAAACAATTGTTGTCATAGAAATTCAGAAAGCTAAATGCTTGTAATGAAAGTCACTTAGCATGCATCAGCGAAAGCCTGGGACCGTTCGGGCTACCAAGCTGTCTCTAATCTGTGAAATCATAACTGTGACTTAATTTGACGTTCTGTCTCTTTTCTCCTTTATCACCAGGCTATGAGTCACGTAATTGTAAAATGGGAAATTTACGACGGAAAAGTGACAAATCGAAAGTATGGTGAGCACGTATAATGATGTATGCATAGGCATACGTGGACTACAGTGATAGAGGAAAGATAAAGGGAAGAGCAAAGACAAGCGCTTAAAAAGAAGGATAGGTAGGGTCAGACCCTCAGATGTGTGACGATTCTCAAACTAATAGGTGTGTACATGTGCTGATCCTTGTAATTATAAATTGTGAATACATGTGATTAATATTATTTTCTTTTTTATTTTGTACATGTTATAACTTATAAACAAATATAAACAAACAACACTAACCCGATAACATTAAATCTAAATACCAAAATGATTAATTTACTGTGGTTTTGTCATTTCTTACTCATGTTTTTAGGTATTCAGCCGAATAGTGATTAAATATTCAATATTCGGTCGAATACTGAATAGTAACAGAATATTCGTTACATCACTACTAATAATGCATAATTTTATATTATGCCTACTATAACTGTTTATATCTGGGGGGTATATTTTTTAGCCTGAAGAGGGATGTGTAGCATCCAAAATGCATAGCATTGAAAGTTCATTAAAAAAAAAAGTTGATTTTATGATCTTGTCTTTGATAAAAAATGATTATAGTAGGCATAATATAAAATTACATGTTATCAGCCAATATAGTGTTTTTGATTTTTGTTTTTAAAAAATAAAAGAGACAAAGTTTAATATAGAAAGAAACTGTTCTATAAGTACAATAATTTTAAAAATAGAAACGAAGTAATTTGGCACTATAGGTAGACATGAAACACCATCTCTTATGTAAATTAAGAAGCTTGCTCAGGGTTCAGACGGCCTAACTGGCAAGTGCACTGCACGGTAAGCAAAGGTTGCAGGTTCAGGTTAGTTCCTTTCTTCTAAGATGTTCTAAATTATTTATGAAATCATTATAATTATTAATTTAGATAAAAGATGGCACCTAACATCTACCTCTAGTACCAAATTACTTAGTTTCTGATTTATTATTTATAGCATATTAATAGCCTGATTAATTATGGTGATTGTTTGGCTTAGTATAAAACTTCATTCTAAAACAAAAATTATAAATTTCTACAGGCTATTTAAATTATTTTATATTTATTTTATTAACTACTATCAATAAAAAAACTGACTAAAATTTTTAAACATTTTGTTCATATAATTTTTCTAACTTAATAAAAAAAAATTTACATATATTTAAAGGAGCTAATGAAAAAATAAATACTCTAACTATTAAGGAATAAGCATAAAGTTTTAACTATTTTTCACTTGAAATCCTATTGAATATTACTGAAGATAAAAGTAATTGGTTGTTTTAATAATTAAATTCTTACAGTTTTCTATAAGTGGTCCTCTAACGTTTCATTTTAATAAATATATATTTTCAAGTAAACATAATTTTAAAAAAAAATTAAACTATATACAAATTTTTAAAAGAAGCACTTTTTCAATTTGATTATTGACTTTTCTATTTTTACATTCAACCCAAAATAGTAAGACTTAAAAAGATAATAGTTTATGTTTACATTTTAAATTAATCATTTTCACTAACCTCCATTGCAGTTGGACCAATGACAGAAGAGCTGGGCAAAGTAGTTTCCTCTGTATTATTCTCTCTTGTCTCTTGATTGTCTGCATTACTAGGAGCAATGTTTTCTTGAATTTGTGAAAATTCTGTTTTCTCTTTCTCTTCTTTTTGTTGATTTTTTATTTCCTCCTCCTCTTGTAACTTTTTGCGTTTTTCCAGACGTTCTTCCAATTCTTCATCTCTATATTTCTCAAGGACACTTATAATTGATGGCTTCAAACCTAAAATTTTAAATAATAAAATTTTTCACTATACAAAAAAATAATGAATTTGTGAGTAATAACACACAGTCAACCCCCTATAACACTGTTGATAATTCTGTTTTATATGAATTCCATGTTGTACGAGTCACTTAGATTTTACAAATATGTGAGCCGTTCACAGCCCAGCACACGTATTTGTAAAATCTAAGTGACTCGTACAACATGGAATTCATATAAAACAGAATTATCAACAGTGTTATAGGGGGTTGACTGTGTGTTATTACTCACAAATTCATTATTTTTTTGTATAGTGAAAAATTTTATTATTTAAAATTTTAGGTTTGAAGCCATCAATTATAAGTGTCCTTGAGAAATATAGAGATGAAGAATTGGAAGAACGTCTGGAAAAACGCAAAAAGTTACAAGAGGAGGAGGAAATAAAAAATCAACAAAAAGAAGAGAAAGAGAAAACAGAATTTTCACAAATTCAAGAAAACATTGCTCCTAGTAATGCAGACAATCAAGAGACAAGAGAGAATAATACAGAGGAAACTACTTTGCCCAGCTCTTCTGTCATTGGTCCAACTGCAATGGAGGTTAGTGAAAATGATTAATTTAAAATGTAAACATAAACTATTATCTTTTTAAGTCTTACTATTTTGGGTTGAATGTAAAAATAGAAAAGTCAATAATCAAATTGAAAAAGTGCTTCTTTTAAAAATTTGTATATAGTTTAATTTTTTTTTTAAATTATGTTTACTTGAAAATATATATTTATTAAAATGAAACGTTAGAGGACCACTTATAGAAAACTGTAAGAATTTAATTATTAAAACAACCAATTACTTTTATCTTCAGTAATATTCAATAGGATTTCAAGTGAAAAATAGTTAAAACTTTATGCTTATTCCTTAATAGTTAGAGTATTTATTTTTTCATTAGCTCCTTTAAATATATGTAAATTTTTTTTTATTAAGTTAGAAAAATTATATGAACAAAATGTTTAAAAATTTTAGTCAGTTTTTTTATTGATAGTAGTTAATAAAATAAATATAAAATAATTTAAATAGCCTGTAGAAATTTATAATTTTTGTTTTAGAATGAAGTTTTATACTAAGCCAAACAATCACCATAATTAATCAGGCTATTAATATGCTATAAATAATAAATCAGAAACTAAGTAATTTGGTACTAGAGGTAGATGTTAGGTGCCATCTTTTATCTAAATTAATAATTATAATGATTTCATAAATAATTTAGAACATCTTAGAAGAAAGGAACTAACCTGAACCTGCAACCTTTGCTTACCGTGCAGTGCACTTGCCAGTTAGGCCGTCTGAACCCTGAGCAAGCTTCTTAATTTACATAAGAGATGGTGTTTCATGTCTACCTATAGTGCCAAATTACTTCGTTTCTATTTTTAAAATTATTGTACTTATAGAACAGTTTCTTTCTATATTAAACTTTGTCTCTTTTATTTTTTAAAAACAAAAATCAAAAACACTATATTGGCTGATAACATGTAATTTTATATTATGCCTACTATAATCATTTTTTATCAAAGACAAGATCATAAAATCAACTTTTTTTTTTAATGAACTTTCAATGCTATGCATTTTGGATGCTACACATCCCTCTTCAGGCTAAAAAATATACCCCCCAGATATAAACAGTTATAGTAGGCATAATATAAAATTATGCATTATTAGTAGTGATGTAACGAATATTCTGTTACTATTCAGTATTCGACCGAATATTGAATATTTAATCACTATTCGGCTGAATACCTAAAAACATGAGTAAGAAATGACAAAACCACAGTAAATTAATCATTTTGGTATTTAGATTTAATGTTATCGGGTTAGTGTTGTTTGTTTATATTTATTTATAAGTTATAACATGTACAAAATAAAAAAGAAAATAATATTAATCACATGTATTCACAATTTATAATTACAAGGATCAGCACATGTACACACCTATTAGTTTGAGAATCGTCACACATCTGAGGGTCTGACCCTACCTATCCTTCTTTTTAAGCGCTTGTCTTTGCTCTTCCCTTTATCTTTCCTCTATCACTGTAGTCCACGTATGCCTATGCATACATCATTATACGTGCTCACCATACTTTCGATTTGTCACTTTTCCGTCGTAAATTTCCCATTTTACAATTACGTGACTCATAGCCTGGTGATAAAGGAGAAAAGAGACAGAACGTCAAATTAAGTCACAGTTATGATTTCACAGATTAGAGACAGCTTGGTAGCCCGAACGGTCCCAGGCTTTCGCCGATGCATGCTAAGTGACTTTCATTACAAGCATTTAGCTTTCTGAATTTCTATGACAACAATTGTTTGGCATTGACAGCTGCGAATTTCACGCCAATAAGCTGCCTCGACTTGTTCGATTATGTTATCTACTCAATTTCATATTTATTTTCACATTTTCACGGTCCTTCTCTGTTCCTTTTTCTGTTATTTACACGTGAAGGACCGTAAAAATGTGAAAATAAATATGAAATTCAGTTGGTAACATAATTGAACAAGTCGAGGCAGCTTATTATTATCCACATTTGATATCATCATTTATCATATACTGCCATAACACTCTTGTCTGTCCACAACAACTGTCAAGAATTAACACGATTGGCGAAACGTAGTGACAGTGGGCCAATAGATAGCAGGGTCCTTGCCATAATGCAATTTGCGTGCCAATTTTTGTACGTGCATTAATCAAGGCGAATAGCTTAGCCGAATATTCGGGTATTTGGCCACGCTCCTGGCCGAGTATTCGGCCTGAGACCAAATATACTATTTGTTGCAACACTAATTATTAGCCAATATAGTGCGTTTGATTTTTGTTTTTAAAAAATAAGACACAAAATTTAATACATACTTTCTAATTTATTAATTATAGCATACTAATAGCCCAATTCATTTCAGCAATCATTTGGCTTAGAATCAATACATTGGGTTTTGGGAAGTTGATATTTATGAAATTTTATGTTTGTTAATAAACACAACAGCATTTCTTAATTACAAAAAAAAACTGGACCATGATAATTGATATCAATTTATGAAATGTGATTATTTGTTATATACAATTAGGCATTTTTTTAGATATAAAGATTATTAAAAGTTTGTTTGGATTTAAAGCAACTGTATTTTCATCAATNCTCGGCTTCAACTCGTACGGCACCCAATGTCCTTGCTTTTGAATCATTCCTAATCCTTTTAAACGTTTCAAAACTGTTGTGTGATCAACTCCTAATGATTCTGCAAGTTCAGCTAGCGTCTCACATGAGTCTTCATGAAGTAATGCCTCTAATTCCTCGTCTTCAAACTTTTTTGTTGCACCAGATCGTTCTTTATCTTCAACATCAAAATCATTATTTTTGAAGCGTCTAAACCAATCTCTGCATGTTGTTTCTGACAGAGCATGGTCGCTGTAAGTCTCAACAAGAATTGTGTGCGCTTCAGCTGCAATTTTTTTGAATAAAATAGTGCAATAAAATTCCCCGCAAATACTCTTTTTTTGGCACGAAACTAGACATGTTTAACACAATAAAAAAATAAGTTGTTTACACTTCGATGAAATGACATATACTGAATTTCAAGGTCGCTTATTGTACTTCCTAACAGCTGCGTCACCATCTAAAAATAAACACACGTGGTTCTGGTAACGCCATCTGTTAAAGAACAGCAAGAACTTATTCAAGGTCCTTATATTAAAAAAGGAGCAATTATTTATTCCGACATCACAATGCCAGACTGCAATTTTTCATCACACCATTCTTAATTTTTTAGTAGTGTCTTGCCCCTATACATCATATTTTTCCTGCAAACAGTAGAGTTGTGTTAGTGATCTATCTAACTTCATTGTAGAGAAAATTTTTTAATTGAAATAACGTGTCTTTCTATATAGACTGTTAAGTTCGTATATAGTTAATTGAGGCCTCCATTCCCTAAGTTTTCCATATCTGGTTTCGACTTTCATCTATCTAACTGTCATAGAGATTAGAGGAGGACAGACAGCAGATGAATGACTAAAGTTTGTCTACAATTTTTTCAAATTGCAGCTTAATAATAATGCAAATTTGAACATACAACCATTTAAGCGTAAGTTATTTCATCCAATTTAATAAACTTAAAATTCAGTTGTTGGTTGCTATGAATTAATTCAGTGTACAAACACAACAAACTTTGTTCCATTGAAAAAGATTACATACATGAGAAAATAACCAGGAAAATATTAACAAGCAGCATATATTATAAATTAATATTATAAAATAAAAGATTTTCTCAAAATTCTAAAAACTTAATCACTTAACTTTATTTTTTCATCTAAAGAAATAATGATAATGGTATCATACAATGAACTAAAAAATGAATGAATATACTGTACATTATGCATTCATTCTTCTTTCAGAAATACTTGCAAAAAAGCATGTAATTAATATTTAAATTTGGTTAAAAGAATATTTGAAAAAGAATGAAGTCAAAGTCAAATTATTAAAGAATTTTGAAAGAATATTGAAGTCAAAGTATTAATTAATGAAGACAGTTATACAATTATGGGTACGTTCGTAAAGTCGAACGAGTTAAACGAGAATGACGTCATCGTTATTCTTATTTAGTTAGACTTTTCGAACGATTCGTTTATAACTAAATGGCTGTTTCTAAAATCGAAGATATGAATGTTGTTAGTGCAGCCTTATCCGAAATATTTTTCTTAAATTTCTTCGGGTGGACAGTTATTTCAATCATTTCATCTTTTAATTCACAATTTAAACACTCGAGTAGATTTAGAAACATCGATTTCGTCGGCCGCCATTTTCTTAACAAAGTGAACTAACTCTTTCCTTCGTGAACTTCGTTAGAGTTTCGTTCGAAACGTCATCACCGCAGAGCATGTGCACTGAGCGAGACTACTACTTTTCGAACGATTCGTTACTAACGCGTTTAACTCGTTCGACTTAACGAACGTACCCTATATTTAAAATATGCAAAATATTGCAAAGTCCTATGACAGGTGAAGTATGATGTTTATTTTCATTTTCAATATCTAAAAATAATGAATACTTTAAAAAATTCATGTGTGATGTCATAAAAACAATCAGAAAGGATCACCATTTTCAAATTTCATTACATTTTATATGCATATTGTGAAATTTTGCTTACCTGTTACACATTCATGTACACTATCACCATCAAGAACTCTAGATTCCTCTGTCCATCTGGCTAATGCAGATGGAATACTAGCAAGAGTATTTGAAGGCCCTCCAGAAACAGGTGTATTTTGATCCTATAATTAAAAATATGAATAATTATTGATACTACTATTAATGTAAATAATACCAATTTAATATCAATAAATTTTACACACATTTGATTATGACTATGTAATAACCTATATTTCTTAACTAAACAAACCTATATTTATCAACAGAAATAAAAATAAATAGAGACAAATATCAACATTTATCAATAAATCTGTTTTAAAAATGCACACTCTAATAACCAAAATATAAGTAAAAAAATTGTTTAATTAAAAACAATATGAACAACATTTATCTCTCATACTATTAAATAATTCATATGACTGTTTTTATAGTATTACTAAACAGGTGTAATTTTGTGCACAAAAGTATTCAACTTCTTTACATATAAGTAATGAATCACTAAATAAAAGTAAGAATTTATAGTTATGCAACATGTAGTACAAGAAATATTAACTTTTTATAAATTCTTTTAAAAAATGTGGGAAAAACAAGATTTAATAAGATCAAGCAATTTGAAATACAATTGAATTAAAAAAAAAAGNCTCCTTTGAAGAAAATCTCTATTTTTTGGGTTGTCCTTTGAAGAAAATCTCTATTTTTTGGGTTTTCCTTTGAAGAAAATTATTATTTTTTTGGGTTTTCCTTTGAAGAAAATCTCTATTTTTTGGGTTGTCCTTTGAAGAAAATCTCTATTTTTTGGGTTCTCCTTTGAAGAAAATCTCTATTTTTTGGGTTCTCCTTTGAAGAAAATCTTTGTTTTTTGGGTACTCCTTTGAAGAAAATGTCTATTTTTTGGGTTCTCCTTTGAAGAAAATCTCTATTTTTTGAGTTCTCCTTTGAAGAAGATCTTTAAATTCTTTTAAAAAATGTGGGAAAAACAAGATTTAATAAGATCAAGCAATTTGAAATACAATTGAATTAAAAAAAAAAGCTAGAGAACAAAAATGATCTAATTTGAAAAATTTCCTACCATAACCTAAAACTGCTAAATGAAGTTTTTCACAAAAACTTAATTTTGAAATATTTCATTAGTTCAAAATCAGAACAGTTGGAAAAGCTAATAAAATGTATTTGTTAATATTTAAATAACTTTATGCACCTCAATATCATTATTAGTTTATATGTTTGCTTCACAACATGTTATAAAATGTCTTTAGCTCATTTTCAAAAAATAATTTAACTTTTAGCATTTTTTTAATTTACACATTTTATAAAATAGAAAAATGAAAAATGTACTAAATATAATAACAGAAAATCATGACTAGATAATAAAATTAATAATAAAAGAAAACAACAAAAATCTTTACTTGAATTTCAAATACATCTTCATCAGTTGCTAATATACGAAGGTCACTATTGGCAAAAAATACACGTGCTTGGCCTGAGGTTGGATGAGAACTAAAAGTTGAAGTCAATTGTAATATATCTTGAGCAGTATTTGGACCAAGTAATCTGAATGGGAATAAATATCAAGATGTAAATATCATTGTAATATTAATAATTTTGATAAGCAATTCTTAAATTATACCTCTGTAAAATTGCTGGAGGATTAGGATGACGTCCACTACTTGTATACATATGCCAAGTTTGATTTCCAAGAGCAGGTCTATAACCTCTTTGTCTATTAGATCTGTGTAATCTTGAAGCAACAGCACCTTGTGGATCTCCATGTCTTACTAAGAGTGGATGCGTTGGGGTAACATTACCTGGAGCTGGTGGAATGGATGGGGCTAAAAAAAGTACCAAATCATTAATAAAATTCATTTTATTAATTTAAATACTAATGTTAAACATATGCAATTTTTTACTCTTTTTTTGGCACGAAACTAGACATGTTTAACACAATAAAAAATAAGTTGTTTACACTTCGATGANATTAAATTCTTACAGTTTTCTATAAGTGGTCCTCTAACGTTTCATTTTAATAAATATATATTTTCAAGTAAACATAATTTAAAAAAAAAATTAAACTATATACAAATTTTTAAAAGAAGCACTTTTTCAATTTGATTATTGACTTTTCTATTTTTACATTCAACCCAAAATAGTAAGACTTAAAAAGATAATAGTTTATGTTTACATTTTAAATTAATCATTTTCACTAACCTCCATTGCAGTTGGACCAATGACAGAAGAGCTGGGCAAAGTAGTTTCCTCTGTATTATTCTCTCTTGTCTCTTGATTGTCTGCATTACTAGGAGCAATGTTTTCTTGAATTTGTGAAAATTCTGTTTTCTCTTTCTCTTCTTTTTGTTGATTTTTTATTTCCTCCTCCTCTTGTAACTTTTTGCGTTTTTCCAGACGTTCTTCCAATTCTTCATCTCTATATTTCTCAAGGACACTTATAATTGATGGCTTCAAACCTAAAATTTTAAATAATAAAATTTTTCACTATACAAAAAAATAATGAATTTGTGAGTAATAACATACAGTCAACCCCCTATAACACTGTTGATAATTCTGTTTTATATGAATTCCATGTTGTACGAGTCACTTAGATTTTACAAATATGTGAGCCGTTCACAGCCCAGCACACGTATTTGTAAAATCTAAGTGACTCGTACAACATGGAATTCATATAAAATGGAATTATCAACAGTGTTATAGGGGGTCGACTGTAATAAGAATATCATACAAATTAAATGTATCAATATAAAAGTGAATAAATAGGATAAAGATAACAAATCAAATATTTATTCTGCAAATACCATTTCACAGTAGATAGCAAATAAATTATATTAAAAATTAGATGTTTATAGCTAAATGGATGTAAATCAAAAATATACAACCAGTAATACCGTGTTTCCCCGAAAATAAGACATCCTCAGAAAGTAAGACCTAGCACAGGTTTTGCTGAATTGCAAAATATAAGACCTCCCCCTGAAAGTAAGACCTAGCGAAGTTTTATTTTTAGTCGTAACAGTCATCGATAGATGGTTGAAAGTGGCTGTTGGCTTTTTGAAAGTACAGCCACTGATTGGTCAGCAGAATCACGCCACACGGCATGATTTGCATAAGACTATGGCTTGGGAATCACAGATTTGCATAACGTTATGGCTGGTGATCGCTAATTGGTAGGCCAGGAATCACGCCCCATCACATTTGCATAGTGCTACGGTTCAGTAAGCACTAATTGGTCGTCGAGCCTGATGTCAACGCTTTGAAAAGGTTAAGTTGAAGTGAGAGTGGGAAGTCCACTCCAGCACGAGAACTTCGTACGTTCAGTTCGACACGACCGGATATATGTCACTCTCGTTTAAGTTAGACTTGGGAATTTTTTTGTTCAACAATAAATGTGAATTCTTCTTCATGGAAAAATAAGACATCCCCTGAAAATAAGACCTAGCGCATCTTTGAGAGCAAAAATTAATATAAGACACTGTCTTATTTTCGGGGAAACACGGTAAATATTTGCAAATAAATGATTAACTATTCTTGTTTTAAAATGAAAAAATTTAATATGAAGAGACAGGTGTTTACATCATTACACCATTAACAAAAATGTTGTTTCTGAGCAAATAAGAAAAATGAATTATACTATACTTCAGGAATATCATCATTAATTACAAAAATATTAGTAAACCCTGAAGTGTTCAAAATTTAATTACTGTTCATTGATTTAATGGGGGGAAAAATATGTTTTTAAAAATATTTTTAATGCAACAACTACTACTTTTTTATAAAATATATAAATTATGGTGTTTTTTTATTTACAACAATTTTTCAGGACCAGGACAGCTTATAATGCTATAGTATATGATATGATATAACTTGCATCTCAATGCACTTCACTAAAATGCAAATTTGTAGCACATTATTGACACATACCACATAAATCAAAGCAACATAGTCTCCTTTCAAATATTTCAGATGATTTATTCCACAAAAAATAAAAATGGGTGAATCAACTTTACTTCTCATAGTAATGACTACAAATTGATAGGTCTCTATAACTAGCTATCTATCTTGACAAAAATAAAATCATTTCATAATTTTATAATAATGCATCATCTCTAATCATACATTATTACTTATTTCAAATTCTAGTATTTTCATTTTCTGGACTAAGACATTGTAACATATAATTCATACTTTCAATAGTTTCCACTTAAAAACTACAGTAGCTTCCCATTATGTCATATACATAAGGAAACAAACCAAACTACAGTGGTGCCTTGACTTATGATTTAAATTCATTCCATGATAGAACTTGCGACTGAAATTATTCTTACGTGAAATCAATTTTTCCCATTAAAATGAATTGCCATTAATCCATTCCAGACCCCACAAACATCAATTTTTTTGTTACATGCTTTTAAATAAGAAAAATGTACTGATAAATAACAAATATCACAATAGAATGTACTGCAATAAACTGGTTTTGCAGATGTTGCAGCATTTGCTGCATAGATAAAGGAAAGAAATAATGGAAAATTCAAGAAATGAAAGATGATCATGCTGCATACATGGAAGTGAACTAATGCCTATGTCACTTGATCACGTGTTTTTCTATAAGCTAGCCTGTCAGATATTGGAAGAGTAACAAAAAGATAAAATTATGGCAGTTTTCCATGTTCTTTCTATTAATTTATGGTTTGCTGTGCCTACCAGCAGTGGGGTATCTGAAGCTAGCTCATAACCCATATTTCAGCTCTCAACTGAAAGCAAAAAAAATCAACCAGGAGACAACTTGTATCTTGAAAAACTCTTAAGTTGGGACACTCACATTAGTACAGTGGTACCTTGACTTAGATCATGCAATGTAACTGATTTACCTCTCTATTATTGGCTGAAGAACTGGAACAAGGAAAAAAGTGCAATATATCCAAGGAACTACTGTAGTAAAAAGCTTATTTCTTCCAATTTCTTAACAATAAACAAATTAAATGCAGTAGAAGAATGAAAGATATTTTGAAGTATTATCATCATAAATAAAAATGATATATAAGGACCTTGAATAAGGTCTCTCTGTTTTTTTTTGTGAAAATTAACACTATTTTAAAAAAGTTGTAATAAACACGTCACTGAAAGTATTGTCCATCGCTAGCCACTACTTTCTCCCATCATTCTGGCAGCATTTGAATTCCACGTCGGAAAAACGACACGTCTTTTGAGGCTATCCAAGAATCAACCCATTTTTTGGCATCTTCATAAGAATGGAAGTGCTGCTCAGCCAGGCCATGTGCCATCGATTGGAACAAGTAATAATCCAAAGGGGCAATGTCTGGTGAATACAGCAGGTGGGATAGGACTTCCCATTTAAGCGTTTCCAAGTATGTTTTCACATGTGGTCAAGCATTGTCACGTTTCAAAATCACTTTGTCGTGTCTCTGCTCATATAGCGGCCATTTTTCCTTCAATGCTTGGCTCAAACGCATCAATTGTAGTCAATAGCGATCTCCCGTGATGGTTTCGTTTGATTTGAGCAGCTCGTAATAAACTACACCTAGCTGATCCCACCAAATGCAGAGCATAAGCTTTGAACCATGGATATTCGGCCTTGCTGACAATGTTGGTGCATGGCCGGGATTACCCCACAATTTTCTACGCTTAGGGTTATCGTAGTGTATCCATTTTTCGTTGCCTGTCACGATACGATGCAGAAAACCTTTCCTTTTCTGCCGTTGAAGCAGCTGTTCACATGTGAAAAGACGCCGTTCGACGTCTCTTGGCTTCAACTTGTACGGCACCCAATGTCCTTGCTTTTGAATCATTC